AGTAATGTGAAGGAATCTGTGAAATGTTTTTTATCACTGGCTATTTTAGTTCTTGATCTATCAACTTGTGTTTGGAGAAGAGGCCTTGTTCACACGCTTCTGTGTGAGTGGAAGCTGAAATGATTATTGTCTGTAAGGATCTGAAAAGAATTTAGGGAATCCTTAATTTGTAGATGAAAATACTTCCTGTCTTCTGCAACCGTACTTGAGATTCTCCTTTTGTTTTTTTTTTCCAAGTGCATTTGCCTGATGTGGTTAATCATGCCATTCTGAAGTAAGCCTAGTTGGTTGAGTTCCAGCCAAAATAATGCATCATAACTGAGTTCTAAGAACTTTGCCTGCTTTAAGATGTTGACTGTTCCTTCACAGCAGTGGGAGGTGAAACTTGGAAAATTCTTCCAAGTGTATTTTTGGTTTTCAGCTGTAGTAGAGATTGTGACTTAGGCAAGTATCAGGCATGAGAAAGCAATTCTTTGTTAATGACCTACAAGTTGGCTATGTTGTGAAGAATCGGTACGTGTATGATTAGCGGCCTGCTCGTGCTTTTGGTGTTCATTACAACCATGTTTGGTGTAAAATCTACTTGAGTCTTAGGTCAACTCCCCTCCTGCTTTCCCATTAAACTATGGTTAATGCTGCTTGGTGCATTTCATTTTGAATTCTTTCTGAACAGAGTATTTTGAAGGCACCATCTATGGCTACAAAAATATAAAATGAGTGTGCCATTACTAAAGTATGCTATTACTATCTATGGCAGCTTTGTAATTCTATGAATAGTTTAAATTTTCTGTGCAGTGCTTTGCTTTCTCTTATAATTACTTAGATAAGGATACCAGGGTTTGATTTTACATCTACAGTGAGCTTTCTACTTAAATCACAGTAGCAACGTATTTCTGCAGTGAAAAGAAGTAAAACTATTAAATTTTGTCCAGGTTGCTCAGAGAGCTGTGGGTACTCCATCCCTGGAGGCATTCAAGGCCACTCTCGATGAGGTCTGAGTAGCTGGATCCAGTGGGTGACAGCCGGGCATTGGAGCTAGATGATTTTTGAGGTCCCAAGATGTTCTGTGATTCATTCCAAGAAATTTCTGGGCAGTTACTTGGATGTGATGTGAATGACTAAATGAAGCTGCGGCCTTTGACTAGTTAGAAAGAACTGTTTACACTCCGTCACGTTTCGTTACATGTATCTACTGTTTCTTCTGTTACAGACACTGAAGTTTATTTCTGTAGATGAGACCAACTACTGAATGCTTCTGTGGTGAAACACTATTTAATGCATTTGTGAATGTGGCTGTATGTCTTTCATTCTTGTCTAAGGTTTTATGCACAGTCCCAAAGCATAAACATAGCTCAGAGAATGGCTACGTGCTGTTAGAGGTGGTGAGGAGAAAAGTCACTGTCAGAATGCTTTTATCTTGGAAGATAATGTATGGTCTTAAAGAAAACTTACTATTATATATAGATCTGCTTTCTTCAAACCCTTTTAAACAGATGGTAATTTATTGCATTCATTCTTGTGAGTTTTCCAATGCGATACTACTTAATTGTGAAAGTTTTTTCTGGGTAGAGATTTGGCTCGTCTGCTTTGACATTTATGTGTACATGTATATTTATAGTTGTGATCTGTCTGGAATTTGCCTTTGTGGTTTTATTTGCTCTTCAACTTGTTCTGGATCTAGTCCTGTCTTGCAGTTTTGTCTGAGCTTTTAACATGTGAGGAATTTATTTTTTAATTTATTTTTAAAAGCCTTAATTGAAAGGAGATATGAGCATTTTTGTTCAACTTCAGCTATTTCAAGGAACGATACAGTTCTGCTTAGGAGCTTTTCCTTAAGCAAAACTTACACTGGTACTAATTTATGACTGATCTGGAATTTGAGTTCCCTGATGTGACTTGTAAGAATTGGAGGAGATGTTTTCTGGGAACTGCTCTTTCTGAATACTTGGTTATCAGCTAACAAGCCTTGAGAACTACTGCTTTTAGCAATCAGACCTTTTAGATCTACTAGAATTTAGGAAAACTGGAAAAATATCTGCAGACTTTATTTGAAAATTAAACCTAACATTTGTGGTGATATACTGTAAAGAAGAGATCTGATTTTTATTATGTATATCTTGTGGATAAAATTCTTGCTCTGCTTGACGTTTTAGTACTTCAGTGTGATATACACAGCATCAGAAGCTGACTTCATTCAATGTTAATGGCAGCATGTGGTCAAGCATTGTTAATTCCTAATCTGTATACATAATACTTCAGAGTAAAAGCTAATAGGACTATTTGGGTAGAGGATGTCTGAAGAACCTACGTATATATGAATGCTTAGAAAACTTCTGCTACGGAAGTATGCCTTTTCATGCTGAGCATTGTTTCAGAACTTACTTTCATTCTTGTCTGCCAAGTGATGTGCTGCCTGAAAGTATGTGGATGTAAAGTGGACAGACTACAACTTTCTAACAATTGGGATTCATCACACAAGCTGTTTCAGGTGCTTCTTCAGTATTTCAATTTTCACATGCTGCACAGGCATTTGAAACATTTCATTATTTTTAGTCCACCGTGGAATGAGGCACTTGGAAGAAAGAGGAGATTCTACCAGGATCTAAACTTGGCAATTAATGTTGATATTTCTTGTAGTATTGTGATCATTGAGCATAGTTTGGCAGAAAATGGTTTTCCAGAATTGACTAAGCGCTGTTTCATAAATGCTACTTGCTGTATTCAGTCACTGTCATATCTATTGTATCTGGCTGTGTAAAGAATCAACCATCAGCTTTTTGTTTTGGTGGTTAGCATTCAGAAATGTTGATATGGTAGAATGAGGAAGAATGGTAGCTAATTGGCAGATGGTATTGTGCGTATGAGGTGGTATCATAGACAAGTGTGTTATTGGAGATGTATGTTTCAGAATTTGCTTGGTGCTTGTTCATGAGCATTCTGAATCAAAGCATTAGGTGGTAGTTTTTCTGTTTTTCTTTTTTTTTTTTTTAATAGCTGCCTAGCTTAGTGACTTGCTTATGGGAGGCATCATTGAGTTGCAGGATGAAGTACTGCTAACTTCTCGCATACAGGGAGCTGAGGCCAGTCTTGGCTACATAAGTTCTACTAGGTTGTGTGCTGGTACTGCTCCCTAAGCAAAATTCAGTTAAAAGTCTGAATATGGTGAGCTGGCATTCCGGTGTGCTGCACATAGTGGGCACGGGCAGGTATGTAAGCAGGGTAGGTACCTCCTGGTATTCCAACCCAAACACCAACCTCAGAACACTTTTGTGTTACCCTAATGCAAGGACTCTGGGAAGCACTTGCTGACAGAATGCTTAGTGATGGTCCTAAATACTACTGCAGAAGAGAGTTTTTGAAGTAGAAAGGCCGATACTTGTAAAGAACTAAATGATCCCATAAATGAATTCATCTGTCCCACCCTAAGCGATCACAGGATATTCCTTCAGGCATTAAAAAAAAACTTATATTTGTTTTTCATGCTATAATCTATAGGAGGCTTTTCAATAGCTGTTTTCTTTTCTGTTCACCTGTATTTATTTGAAGGAGATGTGGTGCCAGAAGTTCATGTTATGGACACTACCCAGAGGATTTTCTTGTTAACAACACTGAAGGGGGAACATAAGTAAAACAACAAAAGGTCTCTAATTATATAAAAAAGATAAAAAGCATGGAGAGAAAGAAGGAACATAATTTATAGAACCTTGTGTTTCAGTTGTCCCTTAAAGTAGGCAGGAAGTAGAAGTAGCAACAGTCATTGCTGTGTATTTCACTCAGTCTTCATTGTTACATTATTATTAATTTTAGAGAATAACTTACCTAATTAGGGTATGACTTGGCACTAGGGCTGGAAGAGCGTGTTTAACTCTGTAGGCCCTCTACAGAAAGGATGCCTGAACAGTTACTCACTGTGATTGTCAGCAAAATTTCTCATTGTGACTTCTTAAGTTCTGATGCCTGGATGGAAGAAGCTTTTGATTTAAGGAGAAATCCTGACTATTGTATCTTTTAATGAAACCTGCGAAATTAATTACTGTGTCTTACAAAATGGCGGGGGGCAGTGTAAGCCATGCTTATGGTGACTCCTTAGGTATTCTTGTGATAATTAAATGATGTAACTATTTAATATAATGTTCTCAACAGGGAGAAAGGTTTTATACTTTGCTTTTAAATCTAGTGTATGCATACTCTACCACTTGCATTTTGACCAGAGGTTTTGCAAAACTTAATGAAAGACAAACCTGCAGCTAGTCTGAGGTACTGCTGTTCTGTACATTCTATGATGTATCACCATGGTCACACAAATGGTGTGTGGTCCTATTCAGTGCACTATATCACAGTGCAAGTGATATAAGGTGTGACCCCGCTGTTCTGGCTTTGACACTGCAATGGCAGCACAGCTGAGCATGGTGACTCCTTGTACTGTTAGTTTTGCAAGAGGACTTTAGGCTGTGCTGAATTTTGTTTTTGTCAATAGTGATGAAGTTTGCTTGCTATTGTTATTCAGAGTAACTGTGACTGCTGAGTTTGGATGATGATTTGTCATATTCACAGCTATTTCCTGAGCATAATAAAGTTAAAGCTGCCCGCTAAAACATACATAAGTTGCTTCTTAGGGAGCAGTAGTGTGTTTCGAATGAAATCAGTGTTGTTTTAATTCATCCTGTTATACCCCTCTTGCCTTAGGGATTAGATAGCAGAAAAAATCCTCAACTTAGGACATGGATCTACAAGATGTTATCTGGAAGAGTAAATTAACAAAGCGAGTGTTTTTTAAAGAAAGATAGGGAGAAAAGGGTAATTAGTACAAGACTAGCTTTATTCCACGTAGAACTCAACAACAACTTATTCCTTCAGCTGTGAAGAGAATTGATTCTGTAACCTTGTGGCTCCCAGTGTTTCAGAAACTTAAATCAGTCCTGAGAGATTCAGTGATAAACAAATCAGATTTTTCTTCTAATGCCCTTTCACCTCTGTTGGTTTTGGAATATTAATTACAGGTATGCAAAATCCATGGCTGTGATGAAATGTCATCTTTCATCCCTATTACTATTCCAAGGAGATTAGAAAAAAGCCTAAGCAAATCCCAGATGCATTGAGGGAATCTGGTCAAATCTAGCGCAGTGAGAAAGAACAGGTAAGATGTGGGGAATAGGGTGATGACATAGAGGGGTGAGATATCTCTTTTTATAGTACTCTCTGTTTTAGAAGAAATTTTCAATCTTCTCTATTTCGTCTCCTTTGAAGTTGGAGCAGAATCTGGAGAACAACTTCAGAAACTGTTTTCTTTAAAGGAACAAAATCAGTTAATCTAAAGATTAGCATTTTCTTCTTGAGTTTGAGGGTCCTTTATCTGATTTATACCCTCTTAAACTTTGCAATGCTACAGGGAAGGTAGTTTGAGCCTGAGAGGTGCTTTCTTATGAGTAAGTTCCAGATATGACTAAAATTAGCATATTTTAATCCTTTTTTTTCCAGGAAGGAGCATTTTTCAAGCTGCGCTAATCAGTTTTGAAGTTTATTACAATCCTGATAAACAAGGATAATTTCATAACAACTGAAAGAAATCAAACAGTCTGAAACTTGATACCATTTCCTCTGCTGAGTATTAGAAAACCTTAAATATTAAAATTTGAACTCCATGTTGTAAAAGAAATGTGCAGGAATCAGGTACTTTTCTGTTAGCTTTCATATGACAACACTAATACTGTCTGGATATGTTGCAATATTTGCATTGGCTTGATACTGCCACTACAGAATGAGAGGTAAAGGGGGAAAAGAAGAAAAAAATACCCTACACATTTAATCTGCTTCTAGTGGTTTGTTTTTTTAAGGCTTCTTTCATGTTTGATTTACTGCTTAATGGTACAGCTGCAGTCAACTGCAGTTGAGAGGGAGTTAATTTTATTTTTAAAGAAATGCAGTTAGTCTTTCTGAAGCTTTGTTGTTAGCTTTGGTGTCAAATACTTTGCAGTTTTTGCTGGACAGTGTACAAACCCATGTTGATTATATGTTCAGAAAGCAATTGTATGTACAGTTGTGTCTACAGAAGCTGTGAAGTAAAATGCTATAATTATTTCATATGAGCTACTGAATTGCTGTTGAAGTGGTTATGTCTTTTAGACATGGTTGGGTTCATCCGTGCTGGTGAAAGGCGCTGCATTGCACTGTTAAATGCTTGAACTTTCTAGTTGCTAGAGGAGGGAGGAAATAGTTCAACAGTTTGTGTGTGTGTGTGCTTGAGAGCAAATGAACTGTGCAGACTGTTCAGCAGGGGAAGTGACGCCCTGTAGTATTTGTCATTCTAGAAAGAGCCGGAGACACGTAGTTTAGATGGGAGGACTCTGAAGAGGGCTGTGTCCTGTCCTGTGTGTATAATTATTTATAAATGAGCAATAGCGGAAGGAATGAAATGCAGATAAGCTGTCTAACGTTTCTCTAGCGTATCAGAGTTTGTTGATTTTTTTAAATTCTTGTTCTGTTTACTTAATTTCCAAATTTGATCTTTATTTTTCCTTCTCTAGCTTCTCTGTGTTGCTGAGACATTGGATACTGGTTTCTTTATAACAAGGAAAGTCTAAATTCCTGTAACACTGAGGATGGGGAAGGATTATTATTCTATTCTGGGAATTGAAAAAGGGGCTTCTGAAGAGGATATCAAAAAGGCTTACAGAAAACAAGCGCTTAAATGGCATCCGGATAAGAACAAGTCTGCTCATGCAGAGGAAAAATTCAAGGAGATTGCAGAAGCTTATGAAGTGCTGAGTGATCCCAAAAAGAGAGACATTTATGATCAGTTTGGGGAAGAAGGTATGTATATCTCTGTTACAGTTTGTGAGGGGCCACTTTCGTTATGGTGGAAGAAACAAAATAAGCACGGATGATGCATAGAAGCATGTATTGGTTTTAGGCAATATGTCTGTACCACTTTGATTTTTGTCTCATTTCTATTAGACTTATAATGTAAAATGTATTGCACAGGTTTAATGATGGTCTAGTTTTAATTTCTTCTGTTAATGTTTGTATGTTTTAAAGTCCCAAATACTTACTTCACAGGCAGAAAGTCATTGGACTGGAAAAGTCTGTATGACCCATAAATAGCTTTCTGGGATCTCGTCTTACTGCTGCCTTCCCTTACTCTAGCACTTTTTGAGATGCAGTCAGAGATGAATTCTGTTTTAAGATTTTGTTAAAGGGCACTCTGCTTGATCTCAGCATGGCAGTCCTGAGCAGAAGCCCAGGTGTCCAGTCTGTAGTTGTCCTTGGCTTCTTGCCTAGGGAGGAAAGAATTTGGCTGATGTCATGAAATACCAGAACATTTTTTTAGCTTTAATTGTAAACAGTGATAACATGCCAAGAGAATGAGGCCTCAGAAATGTCATATTTATCCTAAAATGGTTATCTGGAGAGGATTTTTTTTTAAATTTATTTTTGACCAACATGACTTGCCTCAGTCTTATGATTGAACAACAGAGGAGGACGTTAACAACCCTTCCCTTAAAGTTATACTATCAGAAATTCCAGATGAAGTCATGATTTCTGTTTTAATAAGTATGTCCACTCATTCATTGCCATTCATTCAAAACCTTCCATCTCTCTTTTTTCGAGAGAGCAAGAAAGGACACCTAGCATTATTTTGTGCAGGAAGTTGCAAGTTCTTATATGAAATTTGACTCTCTGTCATCTGTGGGGCTTAATGAATTTGTTAAAAACTTGTTATAAATTCAAGGCCTTTAGCTTCTGCACATGGTGCAGTGTTTTTTGTTTTGTTTTACTGCGGGTGTCCAGAATCTTTAGTGCTTTTTTTGGAAACATTCTAGGAAAAAGTTTTAGATACCAGAGGCCTTCGTTGCCTCTTGGTCTTCTGTCTCCTTGCATTTCTTCCCATTTTCCACACCTCTTTTCTGTATATGATTATAAAACTACTTACCTTGCAATTACTTGAGATTTTTTTATTTCTGTACAGTAGCTCATCTCAAATGGCTTTCCCAAAGATGCATTTTTTTGTTATTTTTCCCAGAAGTAAAGCATGTAGCCTTTTGTGTTCTAGCATATATACTTGAGTCTAAAGATTCAAAACATACGTTTGTTTATTTTGGGTGAAACGTTAAAGGTAGCAGTGGTGACTCTTGAAATACCTTTTGATGACTCAGTTGTTCTCTAAGCTTTTCCATTGCTTCAGAGTGTAATTAGTAGTTCTGAGGAAAAGGTGAGGAGGTGGGATATAGGAAGCAGGAAACATCATTGTTTTTTACAGTGAAGAACCTTGATGTGCCTTCAATAAAAACTTCTGACCAGCTATTCCAGGACGTGTCATTTTGTTACCACAGATTATCATAGATTCATAGATCTACTGATCAGATTGTTTACCATTAACAGTTCTGCGCTACATGGATAGCACTGCACTTTGTAAAGTACTTTTTAATGGCATGGTATGGAGATGGGGGAAGTTGTCCTTATTCTGATGTCTTTCTTAGTTACTGCTGGTAACTGGTATTAGGCTTATGCATAGAAGTTCTAAGCAAAATAGAACAAAAAAAAAAAAAAAAAAAAAAAAAAAAAAAAAAAAAAAAAAAAAAAAAAACACCAAACCTGTTTCAAACGGTTTTTCAAACAAAAAAAAGAATTGGACATTGTGAGTTTTGAACTAAGTGTCCTACAAAAACTTTTCAATTTTTTTTCTTAGAGGTCTGAGATGGTATTCTGAAACTGTCAGTGCATCAAAGCAAAAAACTAGTAGGAGTTGAGAAAGCATTTAGAACTTACTGCAAACCCAGTCAGGAAGTGCAAAGGACCAGCCAGTGAGAATCGTAAGGGAAATCTTACCAGGAAGACATTAAATGTAGATATTTTCCTAGGGAAGATAGAGGTAGAGAAGAGTTATTTGAGAACAATGTGGGTTGTGGGGTTTTTTTGTTTGTTTTGTACAGAGACAATGACAGTTTATAGAAGATTTTCGTACACAAATAAGTCTTAAGAACTTCTGAGGGTTTTTTTTTGTGGCTGGATAGAATTATACTCCCAAGTTTCTTCCCTTTTCTATCATAAATTTGAGATTTTGCTCTGAATGTTAAAGCAGTATGGCTGCTTGGATGTTGTCCTGTTCCTTTATTCTCAAAATTCATTGCAGGAAAACAGAAGTAAAGCTTATCAACAATAGATTGGAGTTGAACAATGGAGAATGAGAGAAATATTATTTGAATTAATAGTTGATACTTAGTATGGTATTTCCTCATTGAGGAGGAGTCCTTCCACTCTACCCCAAAGACCTTTTCACTTTGCCAATTCTGGTATCTATTCTTCCACTCTTTGATAAGTGGAATATTAGAATAAGCTTTCTTGTATAAAATTTTGCATATTTGTCTTTTTTAGGTCTGAAAGGAGGAGCTGGAGGACCTGATGGACAGGGTGGTACCTTCCGGTATTCCTTCCATGGTGACCCACATGCTACGTTTGCAGCTTTCTTTGGTGGCACAAATCCTTTTGAGATCTTCTTTGGAAGGAGGATGCCTGGTGGTAGAGACACTGAAGACATGGAGGTGGATGGTGATCCGTTTGGATCGTTCACTAGTTTCAGTATGAATGGCTTTCCAAGAGAAAGGAATACAGTAGGTAGCCAGTTACGTCGTAAGCAAGATCCCCCTGTAATTCATGAGCTTAAGGTGTCTTTGGAAGAGATATATCATGGCTGCACAAAAAGGATGAGGATTTCGCGTAAAAGGCTGAACCCAGATGGTAGAAGTGTCCGAACAGAAGACAAAATTCTCACTATTGAAATAAAAAGAGGATGGAAAGAAGGCACCAAAATCACTTTTCCAAAAGAAGGTGATGAAACACCCAACACAATTCCAGCTGACATTGTTTTTATCATAAAAGATAAACCTCATTCTCATTTCAAGAGAGATGGATCAAATATTGTCTATCCTGTTAAGATCAGTTTAAGGGAGGTAAGTTTCTCTTTTAGTAGAACTCATTGTTCAACCTTATTATAATGTGGTACAATAGCTGTACAGCAAAAACTAAATGACAGTGGTGAAGTGTTTTCTTCTGTTCTAAAGAAAGCATTTCTCATAAAAATGTGACTACAGAATGTAGTTATTTATAGTGGAAGCACTAGCTGTTTTGATATAAATGGAGTACTATTTCAAGCTGTTTACCATGGAGGAGGTGGAAGAGAATGAGGATGGAAGAGTGAAAGTAAAAGTTGATATGGCTTAAATCTTTGTACTTTACCTTTCTACATAAAAATGTTAGGCTAAATCAATAAATACATTCAATATAGTATGCTCATTTATTGTGTGATGTGATTGCTTCCACGGGGCAAAGTAGAAATTTCTTAACTATTTTCAGTGCCAGCAAATTCTAAGCCTGCCTTTTTATGTCATACGTTATTTCAGTGTGATTTCGAAGTAGGTAGAGATAGATTTCATGAGGATAAATTATTGAGAACAGGTGTTATAGGAGCTATATATAACAACAAAAATGCTATAGCTTTTTTTTAATTCTGTTCCAAGAACAAAACACACTGGCTTTCAAAAGAGTTTTTCAGAATCTGAAGCTGTGCGGTGGACATAATTTAAAAATTAACATAGCTGAGTGTGTTTTGTGTTTTCTTTCAATTAGTATTAGGTGAAGGAATGAGTTTTTACATACATTTTGAGCTCTTTGTGCATATTATGAGCTCCCTTCTGAGAGGATTCCTATCTAAAAATACATTTAAAGTAAAATGAAACACTTAAAACAGGGTAAAGGAGGGAGAGAACTAATTAATGATGTGGTAATTCAGTTTCTTCATGGCTAAATTCCATGTGGATTTATTGCACTGTTATGTATTACTGAACATCTATCAGTATAGACCAAGTATACAGGACCAGGTGAAGCTGGAAGAATCTTTGAGAAATCTTAGTAATGAGAACAAACCACTGAGTAAAGCAGGAGGAAACCCGATCTTCCTGATGATGTTTTAATTTTGATACTCTAAAATAGTGTTTGTTTTTCTTTGACCATCACAAATGCTCTCCTAAGACAACTATTAAATTTGATTGTCTCTACTTAAAGACATTTAAATGTTGTATTATTTGATGTAACATATGCTAATGGAAGTATTAGAGTAAATCCCTGTGCAGTGTGAACAAAAAATTTAACAGGATTCTAAATTACCAATAGAAATTGTAAAGTATCTAGAGATTTGCTATTGGAGAGTGTGTTTGCCCTGGGGTCAATTACCATACTACTTGATAAAGTTATGGAAGGATATATAAACTCACTCTTCAGTACGTATTGCAGAAGATTAGTATATCTTGTCAAAATTCAAATAGACTTACTAATACTAAATCTCTGCACTTCACAATGGAAGTATTCTGTTTACAATGCTAGTCTTTTCTAAATAAAATTCAATTGTAGGTACAAACAATGTTCTGACCAATCTATTTTTCTTATGATACAATCTTTCTCTAGGCATTGTGTGGCAGCTCTATCAATGTGCCAACAATAGAAGGAAGAACCATACCCATGACAGTAAATGAAGTTGTAAAGCCTGGGATGAGAAGAAGAATTATAGGATACGGTTTGCCATTTCCCAAAAATCCTGACCAACGTGGAGACTTAATTATAGAGTTTGAAGTAATTTTCCCAGATAACATTTCTCCAGCATCAAAAGAAGTACTTAGGCGAAATCTTCCAGTTTCATAAAATGAGGACTATGTCAACTGTTTAAGCAGGACACTGGAAATGCAGAAGACTGGCAAGTCTGTGCTTTAAAAGTGCAATGTGTAACAACTAGTGGAATATTTGTTTTTTTTTTTGTTTGTTTGTGGGTTGGGTGGGGGGAAATATTGTAATGCTGCATGAGAAGAAAAGAGTTAAATACGAGTCATACAGATGACTTCTGCAGTATAATTTACAGGGAAAACCACTCATATTTTATATTAGATCTTCCTAATCAGAAAACCTTATTCAGTATTTTGCTTAATATAAAGCGTAGTCAGTTTTTACAAAGCCAATGCATATTTCTGATAAAGTACTCAAGCCACCAAGTACTTTATTTCTTATATCCCTGCTCTATCTATCATAAACAGTTTAAACAGAAATTGGATGTGGTAGTAGAAATATACACATGCGAATACTTTAAATTACAAAACAGTAAGGATACTATTTGGCATGTTGCTTTCCACTGCACAAAGCATAGACTGGGAGAATTAGCTTGGACTCCTAAATTGCCCCCCATTGAAATGAAAGAATTTATTTCATCAGAATGTAAGGGATCTGCATTACAAGTCTAGGAAAGGGCATGTATCTTGAAGAGAAAGTAGCCGTTTGAGTGGTTCCTCGTGCTTCGGGCAGAACAGCGAGAAGGGATTGTACAAGTACATATACAGCAAGTGAGGGCCTGCTGTCAAATGGGACAGGGAAATTGGGTGACAAATAATGTAGAGAAGGCTGAGGTACTCAGTGCCTTCTTTGCCTCAATCTTTACCAGTAAAACAGTCTTGACCAGGAGTCAGCCCCCTGAAACTAGAAGGGAATCCTGAAACAAGGAAGAGGTAACCTCAGTGGTGGTGAACCACCATAGAGGTGAATTTAAACTAGATATGCAGAAGTCCATGACACCTGACAGGTTGCATACAGAAGTGTTGAGGAATCTAGCTAATGCCTTTGCAAGACCTCTCAATTATCTTTTGATTTGAGAAAGGAGTGATATTTGCTTCCTACCAGTCTGTAGAAACCAGTCTTCAAAAGCTAGAGAGAAGTTATGAGGAATTACCAGCAAGTCAGCCTTAATGCAGTCCCTGGGAAGGCGAGAAGGAATATCCTCCCAGAAAGCATTTTCAAACATGTGGAAGACAGTAATGTGATTTAAAGTCTGAATAGATTTACAGAGGAGAAATCATGGTTGACCAACTTGATTTCATTCTACAGTGTGGTGAATAGCTTGGTGGATAATGGAAAAACAGTCTGTGTTCTTTACCTCAGCTTCAGTGGGCGAATTGACAGAGTACAGGATAGATAAGTGGACATTGAGATGAATTAAAAAGTGACAATGAGTGGGCACAGAGGTTTTGTTATCAGTGCCACAAAGTCCACTTGGAGGTAAGTCATTAGTGGTGTATGCAAATGCTCAATACTGTGGCCAGTAATATTCAACATCTTTGTTAAAAACCTGTAGAATGGAATGGACATTTGCAAGTTTGCGTATCATACAGAACTGTGAGGAGTGGCCAATAACACTGTGTTGATTGTGCTGGCCTTAATAGGGGCTTTGGTTGTCCAAAAAAACTGTACAGAGAAAAAAACGTAGAGTTCAGTGAGTAAAAATCTTGCTCCCTGAAGTATTAGTCAGGTGCCAGTACAGTCTTGGGGCTCACTGTCTGGAAAGCAATTTTGCTGAGAAAGGGCTTTGAGTTTCTGGCAGACAACAAACTGACCATGAACTAGCAATATGTCCTTGCAGCAAAACAGGCTGATGGTATCCTGGGTTGCACTGGGAAGCTTTGCGAACAGATTGAGGGAGGTAATCCTTCCCTGTTCCTCACTAGTGGATGCACTCACTAGTGCATCTGTCATACTATGTCCTGTTGTAGTCTCCCCAGTAGAAGGAAGACAGTGGCTTGATGGAACAAGTCTATGAGAGACTGAGAGAACTAAAACTCTTCAGTCTGGAATACAGAAAGCTCAGAGGGTTCTTATAAATGTGTACAAGTATTTGGAAGGAGGGAATGAGGAGGGAGCCAGACTCTTCTCAGTATCACCCAGTATCGGGACAAAAGGCATGGGGATAACTTAACACATTTTTTTTTAATACTGTGAGGATGGTCACAGAAAAAGACTGTGGAGTATCCATCCCTGGAGATGCTCAAAACCAAACTGGACACAGTCCTGGGTAGCCTGGTCTAGCTGGCTAGAGAGGAGATTTGGGTGATCACCAGAGGTTCCTTCCAACCTAAAAGATTCTGTGTACGCTGACTTAGGAACCTTTTTCAATAGACAGTGTTAAGGACCATGCTCTGTAAATGAGGCTTAGTCCAAAGATAGGTGATGCTGATGTGACAGCTTGAATCCATAGGGAGTAGGTTTTTGGGTGGAAAGATGTATAAAGAACACTGTAGAAGTGCACGGGAGAGCAGATATTTAAAGATCATGTTGACATCAAGTTCAGACCTTGAAAATAATGCAGATTTTAATTTAAAGAAGGAGAATCCCAGGTCCAATGTAAGAAGTCTGCTAAAGACATGAAATAGGTGTTGCCCACAAACTTCTACATGCTTGCATTGAGTAATTTCTGAATATAAATATGACTTACTTATCTTTAGAGTTGAAAGGTGCATAGGGAAAAGGAAAGCCCTCTGTAATAGTCTAGTTTTGTAATATTGTAATAGGGCTGGTTCCCTTCATTTTGGTGGAAGAAATGCCTTGCAGATTTGTTCTTGTTACTTGAGTTTAAAATATAATAGAGTGCTTTAGCAACAGTTTCAGAGAATGCTTTTCTTCATAAGAAGAAAATATATAGGACTTGCTGTTAGCCTTTTGACTGTGGAAACTCAGTAGTTACCTGCTTTGTTAGGTAGCTTAAGAAATAGCAGTATTAACTTCATATAAATGCTTTTCTGTGGGAAAGTAAATAATATGGAAGTTGGGATTCAATTTACAATAGCTTTTTAATGAGCACAAAAAAATTCCATTTTTGTTACTCAAAGAAATAGAACTTCTGGGAGATACTGTTCAAATAATTTTTCAACTGCTGATCTCTTTGTATGTTGTCAGTTGTAGTCCTACAACTGCAGTAGATCTACAAGGAGTGAAACAATTGCTGGAGCAGTATCGCAAAGGGCAAACTTAGCTGCTTAATGTTTCTGCGTATTGTTAACACTATATATTGTTTGTTGAAAAAGTTCCCAATATGTACTGTATTGCATTTCTTATGTGGTTTTTAAGTAAAAAGTGTAAAGTTGTTTTTTTCATTTTCTCTCATCTTTTGTTGTGTTGGCAGATGCTGAAATCTATATAACTTAAGAAGTGTATCATCCTAAAATATGTGTATGTTACTTTAAAAGTTAATGGAATTGAAATTTTGTAATCCAGGATCTTGTAACTGTAGTCTAACTTGTAAAAAAAAAAAAAAAAAAAAAAAAAAAAAAAAAAAAACGAAGAAAACCCCCTCACTTGCAGCACGTTATCTCTTGTAACTACTGTACTACTAAAAGTAGTGTTCAATTCAGGATTTGCAGTATCCTGTGCATTTAGAGGCATATGTACAGAAAAGTTTTTTTTTCCTAATTGTTTTCATGCTCAAAATTCAGAACAACTGTAGAATTGGTATGAATTTCCATTTTTTTTTTTAATGGAGAGATAACAAAGCATGCATTTCAAAAAATAGCACATGAAATTACTTCAAAATATGAGAGAGGGCATTAATCTAGGATTTGCAAGAAAGAAGGATACTTTTAATAGTGAAATATTAAAAGTTATGTTTTAAAAACCGCTTGATTATTTTAAGTACAGGCTATGTGGGAGGACAGAGGCAAATACTCAGTCACCTGCTATATCTTTAACTACTAAAATACATGGAAATAAATCGACATTCATAAAGTTGGGAGGACAATGATATTTTTAATATCCTGAAGGTTGTTTTAAGTGCCATACACAGCAAAAGCCATTTGGTTAGTTCAGAGAAGTTCATTCTTAGGCTTTCTGATGTCATAAGAACATTAGCATTCCATTGTTTTATTGCAGTATTCCTTGTATAATTGAAGACTATGTAAAGCCTGTTTGTGGTGTGTTGAGAAAGTGCTGTGGTTTGGGGATGGTTTTGAATAATGACCCATTTTCTTGTTTAGGGAAGTAACATGCTTTGTAGCTGGGGTTGGGTCTCTGCTATTATTTTTTTCCACCTTTATCTTTTAACTTTGTGGATGCTTACTCCTATTTATTTTTTATGAAGTGTAAGTAGACTTCATTTGTGTGTCCTCTTTTATAATTCACCACCTACTTTAAATATGGCCATCAATCCAAACGTTACAAACAATGCTGAAAATGGGCAATATGTATTGTGATAATTGGTGAAATAGGTTAGCAGTGTTTTGAGTCTCAGGTGTGATAGTTCTGGTATTTTTAGTGGGTGCTCAAAAATTCAGGCATAGGGAGACTCTCTAAGATTGATGCATAGTACAGTGAATAAATAAAGATCTGAAAATGGTTGCATCTTCAATGCTGATGAGCCAAAGCACATATGAGGAAATACTCTATAGCTGGCTTGATTATAAAAACACTGGTTGAGCTGTGCACCTAAAACTCTCAATCTTGCATAGTTTTGCTTAGATGTTGGAGGAGAGAATGTCACCAACTTGATCCAGTTGTCTTTTGGATAATCTGCCATTAGTTGTGGATTAACTTTTTTTGTAGGATCTGTACAAAAATAAAATCACCACCCTAGATGGTGGTGATGTACTTTGCCAAGAGTGAGTTCTGCTTCTTGCTAAGTGCCACTAGCACCATGCCTGTGTAAAACAAATTTACCTTATTAATTACTCATGCTTTGTGTTAATAATATCTTGAGACAAACTGGCTGACGTACATTTTGAGGTAAGAGAAAAACAATAGTAGTTTCCAAAGGTTGTTTTCCTTCCTCTTTATTGAGATTGTATGTCCTTATACTTATCTACATCCTCTTTTCTTCTTTGAAGCACTCAGTAGACATAGGCAAAATGTTTTAATTCCAAAAACCTTTAAGTCTTAAGATGTTTTTGCTACTTTGTAGTGACTTGGTGTTTATAAGATTCTTTCATTATGTAAATACTGAAAGTAGAGGGCTACTGTTACTCCCTTTGTGTCTAGCAACTCTGTCGCTTGTTTTGTTCCACTGTAAGTGCTAGCCTACCCAAGCAACAATCTTGTTAGTCATGCCTGATTTCTTTATCAAGGACAAGCTATCTTCACACTTACTGCCGTACATAATTAAAAAAATCAATATGCACCGAACCAGTTCTTGAAATACCTTGCATTTCCGTGTGTGTACCAAATGGAACGTTCCAAAAGTGTCTGAATTGTGCATATTCTTCTTTAAAGAAGAGATGAGAGAATGAGTTAAATGAGAAGTAGTCCATGAAAGAAGACTTAGGTGTAAGTCTAATATGGACCAAGAAAAACAGTGCTAACCAAGAGCACTACATATATTTTTATTTTGTTCATGCACCACCAAATTAATCTTTAGTGATAGGTAGTGGAGATCAAATTCTGGGGATCTGCTCTTTTCCTCTGTTAAGTCACGGTTTGAAACTTGAAGTCAGCGCACAAAATGAGTTTGTTGCTGTGATGTGGACTTTCACAAATGCTCTCATCTAGTTGCAGTTTTTCACATGCCAAAGCTAAAATATGAATATTTGATGCATTATGGCCATACTCTCAGAAGGTTAGTAAAATCTGGTAATGGAGTTCATTCCCTTTCTGTCACAGAAGAAATCCTGTTCAAGCTCCTGGCTTAAAAATTGTATTTCATCCTCTGTTTTCTCAAAAGGCCTTGTTTTGTAGCATGACTAGGAAATTTCAGTTTCATTTCTATTATAACTTTTTAAAATTTAAATAGCAGATCTCAAGGTACTAGCACTTAGAACAGTTCTGTTTTCTTTCAACTTAATTTTCATTAAACTAAGCAAGACATGGTCCTGTAATATCTTATAAAACAGGTTCTTTGTTCTGTAGTCAAAATCCTTTTAAGCTCTTACTTTTGGAATGTAAATGACCAGAAAAAAACAAGATTTTTTGCAGATAAGAGCTCCTCAAGTCACAGTTTCATATATATCATTTGTGGTGAAACACAAGTTTTGTATACACTGATGGTACATTGCATTAGAACACTGTTGCATTTCATCCTTAGTAGTGTGACTCAGCTCTGTTCCCAGCACTTTCTTGACAGACATGGCTTTTGCATGCTATAGTTCTTGCATCCAAAATACTTTTGCTGAGGAATGTGATAAAAGGTATATAACCAATTCTCTTCCTGGTGTGAGATTTTACTTTCTATAAAACTATTGCAAGTAATGAGTAACATTTTACTTTAAATGATTAACTTTCTGTAGTGTCACTAAAAATGCAATTTAAGTTCTTTTTGGATCTCAACTTTCCTGAACTGCTGAAAGCTTATTTGAATTCATGACCTAGTTATGATGTGTGTTACTTACTGTGGGCAGATATTTTCCTGGTGGGTACATATTTGAAGAAGCCTGAGAAAAGAACTGCTTGTAGTTGGAGAAAATGTCTTGTGCCCATTATAGGCTTTCTTTTTCTTTGAGGTGCTAAGTAGTCTGACTCATTTCTAGGTCCACAGATCACTCAGTCCACACTATTACACTGGTTAAATCTGAGTGATTGAAGCTCCTAATTCATGATCAGAATGATATCAGTAAGTAGCATTTGTAGCTCATCAAAAAACAAGTACATGCAGCACATGCGAAACTGAAGCTGTTGAATGTTTCCTCATGATTTCTTGCCAAAGCTGGAAACTGCTAATGGTAACAACGTAGACATTGTCCTAGATTTGGCTTTAAAGAAAAACATAGCGTATGTGTACTTTTTTTTTCTGATTTAAGGGAAAAAAATAAGAACCAAAAAGCACTCAACACTTTAATTTTACTTCTTATGTAAATAATGATAGTATATATGTGTTCCATATTTGTATTAACAGTGCAATATGATCTTCAGTTTACTTGGTCAGCTGTGCTGGTTTCTCATTGCTTTTTCTTTCTGTGGTTAAAAGCTGATGCTGTTCTTCCAAATGGGATCAACTTAATTCTGGTACAAGTTTAGCTGCCTATTTCTGTCTGTCCTTTATAGATAGATCAATGCATGGAAGCATAACATTTCAGTGAGAGGAGGTTTTGCAACATTCCTAAATTAGGGCTACATCAGTGTCCATAGGCTTGTGATATAAATCTGCTCATCTTCTGCTGTGGTTTCCATTTAACTGAATTGCTAACATCAATAATGAAATTGATTTTTAACATTGATTCAATTATGGTTTCAGAAGATAAGGAATGAGTTAGAAGAGATCAAGATCGGTGGGGACAAGAATTGTATTACAAAAGAATTAGTGACATTGACACTTTAGCAAGTGGACAAAGGCATGTTTTATAAGAAATACCTTATTGAAAAATAGCATAACAGTGAAAAAAACAAAATATCAGGATGTTTGGACATGAACCGTTTGGTACTGTCTTTTAACTTTTTCTCGCTACAATCTCAGTTTATGCTAATGTGCTCTCAGTTTTATTCCAGTATTGGAAAGGAAGGTTCATACAGTTTTGTAGGTTCAAAGTAATCTTGAATTTTCAGTTTTCTGGTTTCAAACTGGTCTTGGAAGGTCAATTAAAGTGTGATGGGTAAGTTTATTCTCTGCTGTATTTTACTGGTGGGAATTGCTGGAAAAATAGTACCTTCAGTTTACTGGATAAAAGTTAGATGTGTTTGATTATTCAATTAAAGATAGCACGTGCTATCTGGCAAGACCCAAATCCAGCTGTCTTCAAAACCGTTCTCTTTCCTGAGTAACAGAATTTTAACTATCTTATTTATTTTCTGATAAGCACTAGATACTCTCCAAACAATTATTCTAGAATTTCACTACAGACTGCCTCTTCATCATCTTCTTCAGTCTACCTATCTGCTCTCATTCCGTACACCAGAATCCATTTCTGTTTCTTCTGGGTGTTTTGTGTTTTCTAAGATGTGGAAGATTAAGCAAAGCAGTGCTGCTTCTCTCTGCAACTTTACAGCAGATTCCTGTGGAAGTGCTGGATGCTGTTTCAGGAATCTTCCTCTCTTCACATCTTGACCATTCATGATGTGGAGTAAGTGTACCACTGAAAATGAAGTTATTCCACTGAGGTGAGTGTAGCTATGCTGGAGCACAGCAGAGGTCTTCTGTGGTATCTAAGTCCTTATATGGAATATATTTATCTGTTCTGGGTGATGGAAACACTTCAAATCCACTAAATATTAGAAAAATATAGTTTTCTAACATGTTAAATCTCAATACTGCAAAGCTGTTGTCCATTACAGCAGTGTCTTTAAACCTTGCCTATATGGCTGTAGCAGCGTTAATTCCTGGAGGTTTATAGTACACCAAGTTGTGGTAAAAAGGTAGAAAAGAGTTGGCAGAAGCCCTTACCTACTTTGTGTTTTTTCTATAACCTGAATATAAACCTGTGTGATCAGTATTTAGCACATCTTTCTTCGTATGATTGAAATCATTCCTATGTTGAAATTCATGAGCCTATTCATTGGAAAGATGGTAGTCTTACAAAATGGCTTTGTGTATAAATTAGAGACTTTAAAGGTATGTATAAATAGATTTCATAGCACATGCTTTTTAATATCCAAACAGACGAAATGAAATGAAAAGATGTCTGTGCTGGCCAGTATAGGGAACATGAACCGTCTTTGGCTGAGTGGCTGTCATTGGTGTGATCTTACCGAAAGCGCTCTACTAAAAAAACCCTTCCTAATCAATCCTGTGGACAGGAAGCGTTGTTTATGGATAGGAATAGCTCTCGTCCCGGGTCCGTGTTACTTTGCTTTCGCGTGGGCTGCGGCCCGGGGGCTCCCGGTGTCGCTACCCTCCCTGGCGCTTCCAGCGGTGCTTCTCCCCCCGGGAGCGGGGCGGGAGGGCCCGGCCCGGCGGGGCGGGGCGGGAGGCCCGGGCCTCACCTGGAGGCGGCATGGCCGCACCGGGCCGGGGCGGCGCCGGGGGCAGAGTCCAGCGCAAGCACCCGGCGGCCGGAGCCCGCTGCAGGAACGGAAGATGCCCCTGGGGCTGGGGACCAGGAAGAAGGGCAAGTCCAAGGAGACCTCCAAGCTGGTGGACAGCGAGGCTGCGGCCCCACCGCCCGCGGCGGAGGCTCCGGCCCCGGCGGCGAGCGCCTCGCGGCTGCAGTTCCACACGCAGCTGGCGCACGGCAGCCCCACGGGCCGCGTGGAGGGCTTCAGCAGCGCCCGCGAGCTGTACGCCAAGATCGCCGAGGTGTTCGGCATCGCCCCTACCGAGGTAGGGCCCCGGCGGGAGGGCGGCTTCGCGTTCCCTTACGGGCGAAACTGCTCTTTCCGAGCGAGCGTTTACACGTGCGAAAGGGCGTTTAACTTCTACGCGGAAAAAAAACCGGTCCCTTCGGTCTGTCTGCCGTCACGATGAACTTCCCGTCGGCCCGCTGCTAGCACGGCTCCGCAGCGCTGGGTCGTGCCGGAGCGCGGTGGATTAATTCTTTCCAGCGAGGGGTTGTTGGCTGCGGCCGTTCTTGCCGCAATCGAGGACAAACCAGCGGGCTGCTGGGGTCCGTGCCTGCAGAGAGGCAGCGGGGTGACACAGAGTGCCGGGCTGGGAGCCCGCAGCCTCTGAGAGCAACTGCGGCTGGGAAGTCTTTGCCGGATCGTTAAACAGCGTCCTTTTAATTGCGGTTATTTAAACTCGTAATAAGAATTTATTTTAATTTTTACTCTGAAGCCTTTTAAAGTTTTGTTTTATTTTTTAAGTTTTATTTTTAATCCGATCTAAGCTTTGAACACTTGTTTAGATTGTGATTCACTTGTTTGCGGCCGCATTGTTTTCCCTTAGCTGGAAGGCAGTGGCCGTATCAGGTTCTTCCGCCGTGCCTACGTGGTTCTGTGAACCTTTACTTCTGAGAGGCAAATCGAAAGAGAATGCTTAAGTGTCCAGAGGTCCCCGTGTGTCTGTGCCGCTTCTCTTATGTGTGGCTGCTGCTTCTGAAGTGCCATAGACTGCTGCAGACTTTATTCTGGGGCTGGCTGCTCTGACCCAGCAGCATTTCACACAGTAAATTACAGAAGTGTCAGTAACAGTGAATACAGTTTAACCAGTCACTGTTGCATTAAGTAATTAAGCAGTACCTTCCCAGCTGCTCTGACCTTCTGCTTCTCTGTTTTCTTTCCATACTGAGCTTCTGTTCCCTTTTGTTCTCTGTTCAATCTCTAGTTGTACCTTTAACTCTAATGTTCTCTAATTGTCAGATTGGCTTCTGTTTTAATTGTGTTCTTAATGAACTTCTGTTACCAATCTCATGGCTCTGCTGACTCCAAATAATAGCATTCACCAGGAAATTCAGTTCTGGAGGAACGGTGCTTTTCCCATTTCTCCTTCTAGGTGGATAATCTGGCACTTCTACAGGCTTTATTAAACTAAATAGAGTCTAAACTGGAAATTTCTTTTTTCTTTCTGTCTTCACTGTCCCACTCTTATATGTTCTTTGTGTTTTTTTTTTTTTTTTTTAATGTGGTTTATTGGTAAAAACAGATGGGGAAATAGTGCTAACAACACTGAACTTAGAATCACAGAATCACTTCAGTTGGAAGAAACCTCTAAAGGTCATCTAGTCCAACTCCCCTGCAGTGAATAGGGACACCTACAGCTTCATCAGGTGCTCAGGGCCCTGTCTGTCCTGACCTTGAGTGTGTCCAGGGATGGGGCACCTACTGCCTCTCTGGGCAATCTGTTCCAATGCTTAACACTTTTGTTTTTAACTCAAGAAATTCAGCTGGCTTCAAGAAACAATGTTGAATGAAACAAAAATAGTAATAAAAATGATTTCTTGTTGGCAGAACTGAGTGAAGAATCTGAACCTGATTAATGTGACAAAATTCTGATAGGAAAAAGTAGGATGGATTTGTGGCAAGTGTTGCCTTAAAACATAAGGATTTGTGACAGCTGCTAAACTTGCTGGAAATAAGGGGATACCAAACATTTTAAATAGTATTATCTACTAATTAATGCTACTTTTGTATAGTCTAGTGTAAAGCATAATGCCTGAAACAACACTTCCTCAAGCTGAAAGACTGAGATACTCAAATGCCACTTGCAGGTGTTATCTGTCTAGGAAAGTTTCAGTGACCCAGGTGCCCTGAAGCCCGACAGTGTGATACCTGAATGCCTTTGGAAACAGGCACTATCACAGAGATCTCTGCCCTGCAGTCACCAAGGTGGAAAATAGACGGAGAGGAGTGAGGGGAGGAGCTCAGTGTGGAGAGCAGTTGGCAAACCACCGCTGAAATTAATACATTTAACATGGCATGTGAGTTTACTGCAATGTAGGCAAGCGAATGGATTCTTGGATAAGTTCCTACTTAAGCATTTCGGCACAGTGCAGGATGAGCTATACTTGTAAGCTGTCACTTCTCTTGACTCAGCATGGTTGCAGGACCTCGTTTCCTCTTTGTATCTTTGTGTCCTTCAGGACAAGCTGCATTTAGTTCTGCTGGACAATCCTTTCCAGCCTCTGTGAGCGAACCTGATGTAAAATACAGTTTTTCTTGGACAGACACTGAAGAATCAGTGCAGAGTGACAGAAACTTTTGTACAGACCTTGATTGAAAGTAGGGTAGGATGAGTATTGGACAACACCAGCCTAGATTCAAAGGAGCTGTTCAATCCTTCACAGGATCCCCAACAGTGGTTTCCTGAGGCTTTCCCAATATTCACCTCTTCTTGTCCAGTTATTTTATTCTTCATCCATCACCTGAAGATATAACATCCCTATTGTCCCTTTTGAACCTGGCTTTTGGCCTACATTGCTGCCCACCTTGCTCAGTTTTGCCATGCCTATTTTCTTTTTTTTTTTTTTTGGTTCAAATCAGCTGATTCTTTGCACAGGGGAGGAGAAGTGCAGCCTGTATGGCAAAGAAATGAGCACTGACTAAAGGACAATGTGGATCTGTTAAAGCATTTGCTGGTGTGCTCCTGTGACAGTACATTGTAGGGCTTTGAATTATTCAAAATGGCTAACCAGGCACTTGAAAATGAATATTAAAATCTAACTGTAGTGAGATGACTACTTCTTCAGATGGAAGGGACTGGTAAATGATAGCTATACAAGCTTTCAGTTTGTGTACTCATAGCTCACACTTCTGATTATTTTGTTTGCTTTGTAAGGTGAGGTGAACTGAATGCTTGGTGGGTGCGTCTAACAAATGCCTTAAAGGCTGAGATATCTAATGTGGTGAAAGGACTTCTACATCATAAGGGGAACAGAAGAACAGGGAAGCCTTTCCAGTAGCACCAAGAGTAGAAATGCAGCTGCCTCTCTCTTCCAGCAATAGGAACTTGGCTGCTGAGCTTGTGCCCAGGCTGCTGTTCCGTGGTACTGCCTCTTGATGCTAAACAGTTAAGTATACGGTAAGGCTCAGCCACATTAAACTTTCATAGATGTATTTGATTTAAACCTGTTCAATTTAAACTTTTGTGAAATTGCTGAAAAACAGCCAAAACTGAACAATAGTGTTGAAGCAACTTCAGTAAGTGACTTTTTTTTAAAAGAGGAAAAAAAAGCTAAAACATAGTTTAGAACATTAGAGAAAAGGATCAGTTTGTGACATTTATTAAAATATCTGGAGTTTGAGTACTCATCTATTGAAATGAATTCTCTCAATCTTGCCTAAAGATTGAAGCAAAGCAAATTTGAATGATCAAAGATGACACTGCCTCCAAACCACCTCCTTTCAAACCATTGGCAACAATTGTTTATTGCTGTTCCCTGAGGTGCTTGTATTTGATACCATGGTGCATCTGATGCTTGCTGCATTGATGATCTGCTTCTCAGATGCTTTTTAGCTGTATTTTTGTAGCTGTAGGGAGAAACTTGCTCTATTTCTTGTAAGTTCTGGAGTTGTTTTTTTTTTTTTTTAAACAATAAAATACTGAAAGCTTATTTTATAGTACTATGAATATATCTGGGGAGACAAAGTTGCCTTCTTGATAGAGTACCAAAACCACACTGAAACCAAGAAGATGTGGTTGCTCTTCTTGTTGCTGCAACAAGTTGAGGCTCCCGCATTTTCCCCAGGGAGAATGAAATGAGTACGGTAGCTAGAAAACATGTTGGTGGTTTCTTGATATAGATGACACCTACATATAGAGGGAAATATGTCAGTGGGTGTTATATTTTGCTCAAAAGTAGAAGTCCTCAGCTTCTTAAGTAACATGATTATGATGTCCTTTGTAATGGTATACGAGCTCTACTGAGTCAAAAAGTGCTTTTAATAGCTTATGATCATGTTATCACTCAATCAACTTATTTTTGAAATCTTTTAAGGTTTAGGCTTAATGGAAGTTAAGAAGGTGATTAATAAAGCATACGCAATACGTTACCACATAGGTACTTTATATAACACATAGCATAACCCACTTCCTTATCTAATGCAGTTTCTTACTTTGTATAACAGAGTATAACCCCATTTTTTGTTGACTGGTGTCTCTTACTATTGAAAATATGGATGCAGGAAATAATTTGTTAGTAATCTTATCTGATGAATCTATTTTACGAGGTCTCTGCCAGCCAAATGGAATTTCCTTCTTCTGTCTGCTGTGTGAGATAACTCAGTGAAGGAGGTATCCTAGATATTTCAGGACTGGTGCAGCAGCTATGATTTATAATACCTTGCCACAGTTGGCATGAAATGTCACAGCACTGTTACGCTGAGCTGAAGATCAAATGCACATGAAGGTTAAGGGTGAAAGAAAGGACTTTAAGATGAAAATTACTCATTGATTTTTCTCTTGTTTCTTTTCCGGGTAAAAAAATTACTATTTAAAAATTATATTTCAAACTCAGAGTTTTGAGTGGATGGCAAAACAACAGCTACTGTAGTACACTTCAATTAGATATATAAGCTATTATGAGATACCTATATTAACATAAAACTTAAAAAATATAAATTTTCCATTGGCAGTCCTCAGTCATGTACAAATAAAGCTATGCTATAACTGATGGTGTAACTGTATATTATCCTGGGTGGATGCATCTTTAGTGCATTACACTTTGAAGATATCTGTTCTGAGAAAAAGCAGTTGTTCTCTAAAGAGGATAAAGGATGATTTAAGTGTTATTTTTGACTGGTTGATGTTCTCTCAGCCTTGTGGTTAGTATGGAACTGACTCACTGAGAATTCTGGAGACTTATAGGCTGTAGTGGGGAATACCATCCAGATGAAGGTCTAAAAAGAGAAACTCTGGATCAAGTTTCTAAATATCACATTTCTACTCTGTTGCCAGTTTTATCTTTTCAAAGGTGTGACAGTGATTACTAGATGATTGTCTATTTGACAAGGTCAGATGAAGGATATTAATGTCTAAAGTGTAAAGCCATAGGGCTTGTTGTTCATTGCAAGAAATAGAGCTAAGTTGCAGTTGTAAACTGGCCAAGTTACGTAGCTTGCAAGAAAGCTGAGTGTATATATGGATTTTATATAATCTGTTCAGATTGAAACTTTTTCATGTAAAAAAAAAAGTCAATGATTAGGTGTGATTTTTATTAATAAAATAAAATATATTATTCTGATTATAGCAATATGAATTTCTCTAGGTTATATTATTTTGTAAGTGCTTATTAGCTTGAAAAACTTTTGCCTTACTTGAGAGAATAAAACTGATGTCTGTTAAGTGCTGTTGTGACTGTTGTTATTAAAGCATTAGGTTGGAGTGTTTGTTTGGATTATCAGATAAGTAATTAGACTGTTTTAGTTCTTTTTTTTTTTTTTTTTTTTGTAAAGAAATAACTGAAGACTCCACCAACCCGGAATCTCCATCTCACTTCTAAGCTTTCATTTTTCAAAGGTGCAAAGACACATTTATATAGACCCCACATTCTATATAAATGAGGAAAACAAAATGCTCTCTTTGAAATACATTAGGAAAAACATTTTACCCTCATTTGTTCTAGGACAGAACTGAATAGCTTGGTTGCTTTCATTTTTTTCCTGCCATCATCCAGTGGCACTAGAGTGAAGAAAAAGGCATTTGAAGCATTCTGAGGCTGAAATCCACATAACTTTTGTAGGTGTAATGGGAAAAGAAGGGAAGCCTGCATTTCCATCAGAGCACCAGGGGTTCTGCAGGTGCTGATTTATTCTTATGACTAGGAGCAGTTAGGCTAGCATGCTAGACCTCACATATGGCTGCCACTAGAGCCGTAGCAGAGCTGTAGGACACTGTGACATCCCACTGCTGTTTCTGTCAGATGCATCCTGCTGGCAGCAATGCAGACGTAACATGACGACGTCCCTTGCCAGTGGCTTGCACCTGTGACAGAGGCCAAATGCAATATAAAGCTGCCTCCTCCTCTTCTCCTGCTTTCATTTCTACTTGAAATATGGTCTTGAGGGAATCATTTGCCTTAGACATAGATCTTAGGGATGGAGTTTCTCTGGCCTGTACCCCTGTACTCTCTGGCACTGCCTGGGAGGAAGCTGTGTGGGCCACCCTCAGGCCTTGTTCTTGCCTGGCTTCAACTTGACAAGCAGCCTGCAGATGAAATTGCCCTAGCTGTGAGATGGAACGGGGGATTTGTTTCGTATTTTCTTGGCTAGACTATTTTCCCTCTGAGCATGTGCTACATCAGAATGCCTAACACCTGCCTAGGCTGGCCTGATTCCTCCATACAGTGCTGTGGTGGGCAGACCCCTTGTCTGTTCACGAGCAATACTACAAGTTGGAGGTTGGTAAATGACAAAGAACAAAATCATGGCTGCTCTTGAGGTGGTATGCTCAGCCCCCTTAAGCTGTTCAGCTGATGCTTCTGGTGTCTGGGTTTGATGCCCTGTGGCAGACTGTGAGAGGCTGCTTGCACAGATGCGTCCCTTTCCTTTGTTCCCTGCAATCTCATATATGCTGTCTGAGCTATTGATGCTTCTTGTCATTTTTGTGGATGGAGAGTGTCACTTCTCCTGGGGCAGGGAGCTGGAGAAAGTGAGTTTTTATCACGTCAGTTATGGATCTGTCAGAGGCTGGTATTATGCTCTCCTTAAAAGAGCCCATCAGCCTGTCAAATTCACCAAACCTAATAAACTGTTAAACTTCAAGGTAATGTGTTTCTTTCCTTCCTGCACAGATCATGTTTTGTACTTTGAACACTCATAAAGTTGATATGGACAAGCTGTTAGGTGCACAGATTGGCCTTGAAGATTTTATATTTGCCCACGTTAAAGGACAACGAAAAGAAGTGGAAGTTCTTAAATCTGATGATTTGCTTGGGCTTACTGTTACAGACAATGGAGCTGGCTGTCCCTTTATAAAGGTAAATTTATTTTCCAATTAAATGCTTTTTTTTTTTTTTGGTAGAAGTTTCTGTTACTGTGGTAGGTTTATTATTACTTTAATGACCCTCTGGAACTATCAAGCCATTTAGCATATGGCAATTACCAGAAAAAGTTGCTTTTCCTTAGATTTATCATTTGAAATTAGTTCAGCTATTTCTGTACTGCATGTCATTTTTAAATTAGATCATTTGTTTGTTGCTTCCATGATGTGTATGGGCTTTATGATATGATCATTTTTCTGTAACCAATCCCAAGATAAGTGTTGCATACTGCTTATGTCTGCTTCCTCTTTTTTTTAGTGAGTTTTCTGACATCATTGGTTAGATCCTTATAGCACACCTGTCATTCATTGTAACAAGCTGTATTCTTTCAGTCTTAAAGCGTTCATGGGGTAAAATCCTGCGTGCTCTGTAAGAGCAGGTGCAAGTACAGAGCGCTTTCAGCTTTACAATACTGGCATTGCCTTAAGTAGGATGGATTAAAAGGTGGCAAGGAGATGGATTAACAGACTTCACCCCAATTAGCTTGCATAGAAAATATAGGTAGTAGCGCGTACAAAATGTTAATCATAACTGCTCTCCTCCTCACCAGCTGTATGACCTCCAGGCCATTTGTTTTGAGACAAGTAAAGATGGAGGAAATTATGGCACCTTTCCTCCTAAACTAGGTATTAGGAACCTTGCCCCATTTTTCCAGCCTTTCTAGGTGCATTGCTTTAATCTACTGCAATTAACTGTTACTAGTGAGACACTGGAAATTACCTTTGATTATTGCTGTCTCAAATGTTCACGTTATTACTATTATTAACAGAGCTTCTTGTACGTAGAGGTTGTATTCTCTATTTATTTCTTAGCTACCATGGATATAAAAAGTAGGCTTGCTTGTTGTAAAAAAAAAAAAAAAAAAAAATTGCTCTTGACAAAATTGAAATGCAGTGGAGGCTTCAGCAAGCAGTCTGGCAAAACTGTATCCTCATTTTTATGTTTATAGATAGGAAACTTTGAATTTTCAGTGGTAGTATTAATGCAGCCCATAACACTCTGTCATGCTGCTACTTATGTTGCATTTTAAAAGAAGACATTGAAAGCAGTGCTTCAAGTTCACTTGTGCAGCACTGTGTAAAGCATGAGTTTCTCTGTCCATGGTTGGTAATAGGGGAAGAGGAAAACAGCAATTGCATTAACTGCAGTATAATTTGAGTGGACTGGAAAACCCTCACTACATCAGTAAGCTGCAGTTTCCAGGAAATTGTATAGGAATTGTCTGACTACATGTAATGTTGCCACTCTATTGGTCTAGTAATAGGTGTAACTGATGTGGTCTTCATGGAAAGGCAATTCCACATCAGTTTAAAAGATTTTCTGCAAGGTTGTTACTGTTGCATATTTAACTCATGGCTAATATTAAACAGCAGAATGTATATATGTACGCAAAAATAAAAGCTGTGTATATTATATATTTAGTTGGCTAGCTACATCACTAAGCAGAAACTGACTTTACTTAAAAAATAGTTTGGAATTATTTCCTTATATTTTCATAGGAAATAAGGATTCTAGCTTCTACACATTTTCTAGAGCACTTGAAATACAAGCATAGCAATTGCATCTTAATTACTATGACATTATAGTTTGACTGTCTTGAGTCAGTTAACTTGGAGTGCTCTGTCTCAATAAAAAAAAGAAAGAAAAAATTGTTTGAATGCTGCACAAATGGTATTATCAGGTGATACTACTTAGTCAAAAGTCTTGGTAGTAGGATCCAAATGAAGAAGAAAAGGTAGAAAGAATTCAATGCTTAAACTAAACATGAAGTGTGGTGGACACAATTTTGAACCCTGACAATAGAAATGCATTTGGAACCTGATTTCTTGTTTGTATACAATATGCCTCTCTTTTTTTTACCAGAAGTCTTTGTTTTTAATCTAGGTTAAACAGCAATAACAAAAAGTGCTAGAATGAGTTAAGCTCTGTGTGAAGCTAAAAATTGTTGCAGTGTCTTATAGGACAGTGAGCACTATCACACTTCCCACTTACTCTCTCAGATAGAGGCACATATGTGGGCTTAGACATGTGCACATAAACTAGAAACAGGTTTTTAAGATAGTTAGCAGCTAGGATAAGTGCTACAGTATTAAGTGGAAGTATGTTTATCTCCCTTGTCTTGTTGTAAACTCAAAGCCAGCCTGAAATCAGCCTCAGTCTTTATTGAAATGTACATTATTTAGGAAGATTTTCAATGATATCTGTGTCTCTGAAAAATAGAAGACATTTTAGAATGTCATGGCTTTTATATTAAATAGGATAGTGGCTTTCATGACTGGAGCGTGATAAATATGACAGCGTTTAACAACAATAAACTGAATCACTGAAATCTTAATTGTTCTTTAATTGACTTGATAAATCATAGAGATCTTTTAATGATTGTTTTTTCCTCACTTTAAATTGAACTTTGGAAAAACTATGAATACTAAATTCAGTTTCATTTTATGACCTCTGCTTCTATGCCACTTGTATTCCCTGAAATAACATTTGGAAGCATTTATTGCCCTTCATTGTTATTTCACAGGAAATAACTTACCATATATAGTTAAGTGAGGAAAATTGTAGAAGTTTACTCAGTATAGATGAATCTTAGCAAGCTTAGACTTACATAGTACCTCATTTTTTAGTATGTCACATTTTTTTGTATGTCCCAGGACTATACAAGAGAAGTTTTGTACCTATGCTTGTCAGAGTATAAAATCAAAAGTCAAGAAGACATTCACGTTATTGGCACATTGGGTACAGTTTTAAAGCAAAAAACAAAACAAAACAACCCCCCACCTGCTCCCCCTCCCCCCCTAAACCCCCAAAACATTAGCTTATTCAGAAGCCTTAACTTCTGAAGTACGATTGCATTTTTTTCTATTGTTGATTTTATATACAATGTATGTATATTAAAGTACTTTGTTTAAAAATAATTTTCTAAAATGTCTTTTATGGCATAAATTTTAAAGTCAAAATGTCCTGCTGGCAAAACAAACTCAGTGCTATTGATATTTTTAACTGACATTCTTGAATCTGTCACCTCCTTACCATTTCAAAAAAATGTTTCTAATTATTTTCTGTTTTTTAAACAACAGCGAATCAGAGAAGGGAGCCTTATGGACCAAACCAAAATGATCTGCGTTGGCGATCACATAGAGTCTATAAATGGAAAAGATGTGTCAGATCTTCGGCATTATGAAGTTGCCAAAATGCTAAAAGATCTGGAGAAAGGTCGGGTGTTTAAGCTGAAGCTGATAGAGCCTATGAAGTCATTTGGTGAGTGTTGCTTGGCTGTTTGCCTTGTTCCCTGGATATTGAACTCCTGACATTGCACTCCACTATAAATTTGTTTTCAGGCAAGGTAATGTAACTGCTGCAAAAAGAGAGGAATGTTCTATGTACAGAATAGATACATATATATATGTGTGTGTGTGTGTCTGTTTGTGTGTGTGTGTGTATGTATGTATATATAATATATATTTTTCTTGGAGTGGGGAATTTTAGGAAGAAATTTTCTTCCATCTGCTTTCTCCAGCAGTTATCCTGGTATGGGCTGACTCAGCACTGAGTCTCAGTTGCTTGATTTCTTTGCTACCACATGGCAATACAGAACATGTACAAGTTTCATAGGCATGGTTTTAAAGCATGAATCATTTCACTGATCCCCAAAGCTTCCTTTCTATTTTCCTTTACATCTCTTGTATATGAATCCTGTTCGTCTGTGTATCAGATTTTTCTATTTGTGAGCTTTAGGTGGGACTGAGCTATCTAATGCAGAAGAATAAAGCAGAGAAGAGTCTAGGATTCCCCAGAGCATATCCTTGGCTGCTATCCCCAACATTTTGTTCATTCTTTTATTATACAGCAGGTATACTTACAAATGAAGGAAATGAGTTAGACAAAGCTTGTGTCTACCTGGTGCCTGACTGCTGTGTGAAAGTGATACTTATATAGGACAAATGTATACCTCCTGCTAATCCATATGTAAATTAATTTTATCAATGCAGTAAAAATAAATAAAAATATGTTGTGTTAGCTTAGGAAGCTAAAATAGAGATTGAGTTTTGATTTTTATTCTCTCAGGTTTTGATTTGTTTCTCCCCCTGATGAATGCATTATTTTTCTTTAACAAGTACAAAATACTTTTGCATTTTAAGTATGTATGACTTCATGTGCACAGTCTCTTCACCACAGTGGAAAATATTTGATTTTTTTTTCTTTTTTTTCCCTTTCTGTTAGCAGTTTACAACTGCTGTCATACACCAATCTTGACACTTGGTGTCAGAATAACAGCAGAAATTGAAACAGGAATTTGAAGATTGCTTTTGGTGAATGTGATATGCACAGAATGTGATATATCCAGTGATATTAGAGACATAAGTTAATACTTGTGTTGTAATGTACATACATACAGTGTTGCAATTAGCAATATAATAATATCTTTTTAATATGGGCATTCAGGGCTAAGCCTATTACGTAGTCTGTTTGTAAAGACTGGGGTAAATCATCGTTTGATGACTTAAACTATTATCTAATAGCAGTTATTTTCCAAAGATGATTAAGTTACCTCTTTGTCTGCTGATGATGTAGAGAAGGAAACTTGGTAATTCCATGGCAATACCTTTTATCTCACATTAAATTAAGAGTGAAGTAGAGCTTATTGGACAGATTTTTGAAAGCTGCATGTATTTTTTATTCTACAGAAATGGGCTTAAAACTCCCGATGTCCAATATGAGACAGGTTAAGAATACCCTGGCTTTTGCCTTAGGGGTAGTTGAGATTTTGGCACAAATTTGTATGAGATTGTTTATGCTGCAGTATGCCAAGAATAGCCACAGAGGAGATGACAAGATCCAGATCCTACTGGATAAGTAGATGCAGGATGCCTGTTAATTTCAACAAAACCTGGTTACTTTATGTTTGTAAAAGTGTAGGAATGAGGGACAAGTCTCTGTCAAATTACCAGCTTTTATTTTCCTTCCTATTAGTGGAAAGCAAATGCAACTGTAATTTACTGGTTGGATATCTTCCTATCTTGTGTGCAGATGCTGCACTAGCTGCCCTAGGCAAGGCTTAAAGTACAAAATTGAAGACTTCTCTGAATAAGAATTGTCCTTGCCAATCTTAAGCTAGGCTTCAGTGAATTGGTGAAAAATTAATAGAAACAAAGCAAAGACAGCATAAGGCAGACTATAAATTTAAAAGGAGTAGTTCCTGCGTTAGCCAGAGCACTTTCATGTGAAGGTTATGTCATAGTTTAAGTTTCTAGTGGTGGCAGAACTGGAAAAATATGCATATTACATATTTTGGGACAAATTAACAAATACCTATATATTAAATTTCATTAAAGTTCACATTTCAAGATTTTTTAGCAGAATAATCTAGGCATACAGCATAAGTTCTTCTAAAACAAGGAATAGTCTGGAGGATAAAATAGCACAGTGAAAACAATTCTACAAAATTCTTTCTGGTACTTTCCAAGTTAAGTAGTTAACTACTGAGTTAGTAAGTAAATTAAATCCTCGCCAATCCTGAATGTGAAATTATGGCTCATCTCAGCCTTTATGTTCTAGGACATATCTTATATGATTTCATACTCAATTTACTAATATAATAAACAAGGAAAACTGAATTCAGGTAAAGAAAACTTAAAATAAAACCAGACATTCTCTTCAGGGACTTATTAGGTGTGAAATCCTGACCTTCCTGAAACCTGTGGAAAAACTCCCACAGGACTACTCATAGACAGTTTCATCTGAGTGACTGATAGTAATCAAATAGCTTAGCATGAAACAGTTGGACTTATTCACCACTGTGTGGCTCGTTATCACACATTTTGAAATGATGTTTTCATCATAGCCTCGGTGAAGGATGAAAATGTTGCAAAACTACAGCTACCATATAGTCTGCCTATGAAGGGCAGGGTAAAGTCAGCATTTGGGTGATGACTTCAGACATCATCTGATAAGTACTTGTGGTTTTTGTAGAACATGAAAATAAAATTATATGAAATGCACATGTAATACTGAATGCAATAGGCTTCAACAGATATATTTGTCAATAGATATCCCAGCTTCAACAATAGTCAAAGTGCTTATCAAAGTTTGAAGAAAAGAAATTGTCAGCAAAGCTATGTGGGGTATGTAGTTAATTTGTGGTTAAAGTTTTAGATGCCTATTGGCTTTTGATTAGAATTAAAACGGAAGGTAATGTAACAGCGAAGCAGATGCATTGTATACATAGTATATACTTAGCTTTGTTGTTTGTTTGTTTTCTTTTTTACTTTAGAAAAGGTGGCAGCAAGGTCCAAAGGTGGGACTCTGACAGAGGCTAAAATCTCTAGAGGGAGAGAAACACTTCGACTGAGAAATAAAGGCCCTGCCACTGTGGAGGAAATGGTAAGGTTATTTTGTGGCTTTTCAATAGTTCAACCTTCTAGCACCCGATTTTTAGTCTTCCCCAAGGTTTTGAAGGTAAAGCAGGGAGGGAAAATCCACATTACAAAGCTTGTGGGACTTATGATGAAGACTGTTTTCTGTAAGGAGAAATGTTTATGCAAAGTTGAAGGCTAGGAAAGATAGGATGGGGCTCAAGAATTTGGAAATGGAGAACCTTTACCTAGATGGATGATGTTAAAGTGCATTAGACCAAAGAGCATTGAAAAGAAGGAAAGAAAATAGAAGGAATGGCTGAAGATGTAGTTTTGTATCTGACACCACAAAGTGTACTTAGCTAGTTTAAGCATGGTTGTTACAAGAGGCTAATAACTTATGCTGACATGAATGTGTGTAAAACCAGGAGTAGTGTTTGGAAGAAGAAATTTTTCTTATTTCAGGATCCTCTAAAGCTGATGAGACTTTGATAAAGATCTGTTGAAAGGCCTGTGTTTTATTTGGTCAGTGTAAAAGTTATGTGGTTTTTAGTTTGTAGGATGATTTTAGTTTGTGAAAACAAGGGAATAGGGAGGGATAACATGATTTACTTTTAGGTTTTGTAAGTCTAAGCAGCTAATGAGAGTGAGGATAAGCAGTAGGCAATTTCTTGTTGTTTTAAAGTCTGTGTAGGATATAGTAATACTTTTGCACTTTTTCTACCTTTATTTCAATAAAGCTGTCTGAAGTTGAAGAAAAAGCAGTAAAAAAAGTGGATGAACTTCTTGAAACATACATGGGGATAAGAGATATTGAATTAGGTGAGTTTTAACAAATGCTTTACTACATGATTCAGTAATTTCTCATTCTGTCTAGCCTATAACTTATAGTTTCAGTCTGTGTGTGTAAACAAAACAAAACCTATCTAGAATGTAAACCGAAAACCTTGCCTATGTTTTTCCAAATATCTGTTTGATAAAGGGGAGAATTTCTCACTACAATCCTTATGATGTAATTAATCTTCTTTCTGCCCACTATTTATACACCACTGAATAATTTATTTAATTATTTGCCATTAACTGTCATTGCCATTCTTTATGGCATATATGTTCTACCAGAGCTTGTATGTGAAGTTGGGGGATTGTTAAGGTCAAGCATGTCTATTTGCCATTTTTCTTCTCCCTCTCTCTCATCCCTTGGCTTAAATGCTTTAAAGGAGATCATTATAAAGTTAGAGTCAGATCTTTTCCCGTGAAGGAGTAACTATTTAGCAACAGGACTGATAGAGTAATTGCAGGTTTATCAAATTCTTTAAAGCTGGTTTACTGAAGAAATGTGGGACATTTTCCATTATATTTGCTAGCTTTAAAATAATCAATTTGTAGTGAAAGAAACTGTTGAAAATCAGTATTATTAGTTCCTTAAAACTGCACTAAACTTGCTCCTGCAGCTGTTGTTTCTCTGTTTATTTCACACCACGTAAATATGAATTTCCATTTGTAAGGGAAGAAGCTGTTCATGTTTTGTGGTCTAGCTGACTAAGAATTGCCAGTGTGGGAGCAGTGGCTAGGTGCAGTCCTCATATGATATCATTAACGCCGAAACAAAGGCAGAAGTTATTTGTTATCGCAATATCAAAAATCAGACAATTAGGAAAGGACAAACTAAGTGGAAAACAATACTGAAAGAAAGCCTTTATGTGAGAGAAGTGGCAGAGGCAAAGCAATAGAGGTGATAAGTCTGGCATGTAGCTAAGGGTAAAGCAGAATGCTTGGACAGTCAGCAGTTAGCAGGCAGGAATAAGAACAATAGAAAATAATCTGAATACCCAAAAGACTTTTGCCAGCTGCTGCTACTGGCAAGCATCTTATTGGCAGTTCTACACATTTCTTCACAGGAAAAATTGTAGGCGAATTACTATTTGTCTCTCAGCCTAAGGTAAAGGTGGGCTTCCTGGCATGGAAGCGAGAGTGAAGCTGCATAGAACTGGATAGTGCTGTTTTGCAGATATTAACCTCCCAGTTCTAAGGAAACTAACAGTTCTTAAAAATTCTATTCCCAGCAACTCTAGTATGTGATACCTTTGACATGCAATACATTCTCAGGAGCCCTGGGTGGTGCAGTCTGACCCTCTGTTTAGGTTTACTGTAAACAGCCTCTGGCTCAGACTTCAAAGCTTCCGAGACTCGTGCCAGTCACCCCTTCTGGAGCTGTTTTTGTCCTGCAGCTGCTGCAAACTCCAGCTTGATCCAATCTTCTGAAGGCTTCTGTCCTTGTTAGTTACATCCAAGGTCTCCAGGCCTCCTGCCCCATAAAAATAGGTAGCTCTTGTTTTGGTATCTGTAGCCCAGGTTCCTGAGATTGTAGGCTAGAGCTTGTTTTTTTGGATCTTCAGGATATGCTGTGCTTTGCTGTGTGACAGGATCGAGAGTTCCTGTGGGAACTATTGCTACCTTTCTTTGACTCTCACTACCATAACTGGGTGGTTCTTGTACAACTGACTGAAGAGTTCAGTTTGTAGTGAAAGCTTGGCTCTGATGATTGCCAAGCACTTGATAGTCCTATGAATTCCTTGATATTTTTAACAGATCTAATGTCATTGCATCTTTCAGTATGTACCTTGGATAGTCCTAAAGAATGCCTTTAAAAAATGCTCAAAGAATGGACAGGTCTTTGTCCTCAAAGGTACTCTGTGCTTCCCAACTGGGTTGTTGGTTTGCCTTTTGCCTCTTTCTTCTCTTCCTCTCCAGAGGACTGTTAAACAAAGAGAAATTGTCATGAATCAAAGATAACAGGTTTACCTAGCTCTAGTTTGCATCCTTGAAGCTGTTTCTTGAAGTTCAAATCTTAGTCAGGGGCCAATAATGGTAAAAAAAAAAAAAAAAAAAAAAAAAAAAAGTTTTATCACTTTTAAATAATTGAACAGCTCTCGATCTCTTTAGGAAAGGAGAGCTAATCACTTGTCACAAATCTGTTCAATTAACATATGTCAGTTTTTTTATATACTAGATGTGATCAGTCATCCATGAAGATGAAATATGAGGAAAGGATTCATTCAGAGAATGCCAATCACTGCTCAGCTAGAAATTTCACTCATTACTCAAGCCAGATTAGTTGAAAATGCAAGTCATCACAATGCGACAGCCGACAAGTGATTAAGATCTCAATCATTGCTCACTCCCATGCAATTCTGTTTGTCAGAAGCTCTGGTTGTCAGTTAATATTGCTTTTTCATCTCCACTAAAATGACACTTTCATAGTGAGATTGAATTCTGAAACAGTGCCCTAATTTTGAGCCAGAAGTTAGAAAGAAGAGAAAGAAAAATAATGTAAAATTATAGACAGAATTAAAAATGAGATAAAGCCCTTAATTTTTGAATTGCTAAGTATCTTGGCAGTTTCAAGAATGGCTGACTAAATATACACGAGCCCCTGAGTTGGAGGAAAAGCTTTTAAATTGTTTAATTGAACATCATATATATATTTTTTTGGATGGGTGGCAACAGATGGTTATTTTCAGGTATCTAAACACTGAAATTTACATATCTGCTTCATGAATGCACTTCTACCTCTCTATTTTACTAGGGAAAAATGGCTTAATTCATAGGAGATGCATTTGGCTCTGGAAATGTACTCCTCAGCTTCATGCACATGTTAGAAATTGGATGAAGATTTCAGCTTTCTTTAAAATACAAATGCATTAGTGAGGTCTGCTGAAGATTATTTTAAATCTTGTCAGTGTTTTCTGATACAGGAACATGAACAGCTGATTAACTGGAATGGTTCAGAAAGCAGTGTTAGTGAAGAATTCTTATGGCATTTATTTTTAAATCAGTGAATTGAGATAAGCTCTATTTGACATCAAAGGTTGTGGATGGGAGAAAGCCTGTATCTACAGTACTCAACCCCAGAATGCTATCAATGGAAAACTTTTGCAAAAGAGTTTCCTGTCCAAGTTGAGATGTTCCAGCATCTTCTGGCTACTCTTCACTCATAAATATTTTGTTCTATTTTTATGCTTTTGGATGATTGTTTCCTTGCAGATGTTCCCTTAATGTTGTCAGATATTACATACCTTAGCATATTCTCAATTCTGTTTAGAAGAATTCAGATCTACTTTTCAATTTCTGGTTTTATTTTTCCAGCTTTCCATATACTCAAAATATGACTATATTCCATATAGTTTAATCTTTTCCTCACCTAAGCTTTTATTCTTTAATCATCTGTACATCCCAGCAATGCTGGATAGATATTTGTATTTCGAAATGCTTTGAATGAAGTGGTATTTTCCTCAAATCTGTTGCTTTCTTCTCTTGTCACCAAACGTAATTCTTCAAAGGATTGTATTTCTCCAGTTTTTGTTCTGTGCCCTTCAAACTGATTAATTTGTAACAATGTTCAACACGAAGCTAACACCAAGGTGTATTAAACACTGAAAACTCTAATGGCATGCTTTGTTTTCTGTCAAATTGATAAGGAGTGTGGATGATAATTTTAGCTCTTTTAAATTATTAGGCTAGACTAATAACTAATATTTGTTACCTTTTGATGAAAGCAAAACTTCTGATATCATTACAGCTAAATAAATAACTGAAATGTCTGTTAAGGCTTCTGATTTTTTTTTTTTTTCTGAAAGTGACAGAAGATGAAATAGGTGGCAAAAACTGCTATGTAAGGTGGTTGTGTTCTGGGAAGCCTGATAGTGAGCTGCTTTGGTTAAAGCTGAGAAGAAAATTTCTTCTGTCGCTTTTGAGTTCACTGAACTTCTCACATTTTTTATGAAATTTTCTCAAGTATGAGCATTGCTAGCAGTGGGATTTTAAAACAAATTTCTGAAGACAATGGGACTATCTGGATTGTCAAGAAAAATATTCTCTGTATTAGAATAAAATTTATGCAATCACTTATTGTGTAGCTGTCATGAGAATCAGTGGGAGAAAGAGGGGAGTGGAGCTAATTTGACATGGAGATGTTGTCCTCTGAGAGCCAGTAAAGTTCTCTTCCAATTGCCACATATCTACCAAATACCCTTGAACTAAGCACTTTTTGATTTGTCTTGGGAATTATGCATTGTAGTTGTCACCATGTAAGCATGCATATTCTGCACAGAATTTTACAGCTGTGCTTCTGAGGTCATGGATGCCACCCATGCACGTGGGTAAGAACCAGGGGGGTAAGAACGTGTACACTGCATGATAGAGAAACTACTCTGTCTTAGTGCTTCTGTGTGTATGAAACTATACAGGGTTCATCTTTGAATAGGACAGGAATACAGGGTTCATCTTTGCTTGTTCGTATGCATCGGTGGTAAGAATTAGTGTGCCAACACCAGTAGGGATTGCTTGCATCTCACGTTGCCGTTTGCTGAACGGTAATATAATGCTGCTGGCACTAGAGGTCAGCACCATGCTACTGAAAAGGTATGCAGGAGACAGAAAGATCTCGCACTTTCTGTGTAAATGTATTCTATTGTACCAGATGAATTAGGGAAGGGGAGTGTGCATTAACAAGCGTAGCTCATTAAGTGTAGTGGTAGTGCTGATTGCAATTGTTCAATATGGTTGTAAAGGTTTTTATTTGAGGCTGCTGCTCTCAAATGGCTGTGACATTTTGATTTATTGTCACTTCATAATTTGGGAAGCTCAATATTTAAAAAGCCTTACGTTTGAAGTAGCATTTTGGTTAATGACTGTGTAATTCCGAAATTTTAACTAGGACGGTTGAACTTTAATATAAGAATGTGTTATCATATGGCTCTTTCATGTATCAGTTTATGTCCAGAACTTGCTCTACCACTTTTTCCACTGGAATACTTGTCTAGATTCTCACTCTTTTGATGACTACCTTCTTTTTAATATCTTAAGGAAATGTATCCAGGCATACTTTTCATGTCTAAATTGTCTTTTACCTTGCACATCTTCTCTCTCTCCAGCCTTGTTTCAGTGTCTATATGGAGCAGCTTCACATCCTCATTCATATCAGGAGGACTGCAAAGGTTAAATTAAGACCTTCACCTCATTTCCCTTTTAGACTGCTCTGAGTCAGTATCCCAGGGACTCCATGGGGGATGCAGAAAGAATCCACACAACAACGATAGGTTACTTCTGGCAGGGAAAGACATCTTGAGTCCTTGAGATCCTGTACTGTTGCCAGAAGTCTGGGTAAAGCTTAAGCTTTCTTGAGCACAGCAGTTTGTTTGTCAGACTTTGGGCTTCTTTGTGGTGTTTGGCATGGAGATCCTGTTTGCAGTCTCACGTCTGAATGTAGTTAAAACTGAAACATCGAATTTCTTCAGAGTTGCTGTTGCTGACGTCTACAGTGTGGCATGTGGCTCCAGTTTGCTCTCAGCTTGTTAAAAGTTTGCATAATAACCAGCTCTATTTTCCAGACAGTTTCAACTATCAATAAACAATTTCAGGTTAATAAAATAATATTAAATACACATTAGAACAGGGAAAGCTTATTTTACATTTATCAGTGAGATTTTGCCATTTCAATACCATGTACTGCATGCATTACATAGCAAGTATGCAGTAGACTGTCCTACTGAAAATGGTCTTATGTGATTTCAGGATTTCCTTCCCTTTCTCAGGCACTGTAATACATGTTTTTCTACTCAATTATCCCTCTAAAAAAAAGACTAGGAGTTATTAAATCCTTCACATGTGACATTAGCATTTAATATATTCGTGAAGAAGGTGGTGGTTACTTGTTCTTCATCTTCTGTTATACATCATCTTGCAGTTTAAGGCAGGTGTAAAAGATGACAATGAAGTAAATCAGAGTTTGATTTAGGATTTAATCTATTGTACAATATAATCTTTTTTTGTTGTTGTTAATATGAACAGAGGCTGTGGAGCAGAGGTACAGCTAAGAAGATAAACTCACTCAGCAGTCCTTTTGTGCTGAGTCTGTTTTACAGTCTTCTGCACCCCTCAAATGAAGATAGCCTACTGGCTTAGCTTAGCTTTGCTGGTCTCTCCTGAGCTGACATCTTTCATCTTTTCAGGAGGTGCAGGTGCTGTGAGAGAGAGAGCTTTGAGCCCTCACAGCTTTCCTTTGCACTAATGCCCCTACAGCCACTGCTGAGCGCTGTTTGTGATAGACTTGTAATTTGTCCTGGAATCTGAGGAGTTGTCCAGTGGCTAAAGCAGCTTCCAAACTGGAGTCTGAAACTTGATAAAGATTGATTCTCATGTGTTAAACAGGAGAAATTGCTGGATGAACAAGATATCGGTTTATTTCTGTTTGCTAACAAATGGCATTCTGCTCTTTTTTTATGGATTTTTTTGACTGTGCATAATATTTGAATCCTTTTTTCCTGAAGTATTCAAGTGTTTTCTCTATACTTTTTTATCATTGCTCTTTTCCAAATACAGGTTATAACACAAACTTAGAAGCTGTTTCTGGCAAACCCATACTAATTTGGTTGCATGTATCTACTGTATAGGTAGATAGGAACATTTTCCCATGTTCAAACTTTTTGTAAAAAAAACAAACAAAAAAACCCAACAAATTTGGCTATTTTAAACTCTGACTTGCTGGGATCTTTTATTTGTTGTTTAGAGGGGAAAAAAGCATTTGAATATGCCTTTTAGATAAGTGAGCCTACATCAAACTCACTGAAATTGGTTGTGCATTAGCATGGGGCTTGTTATCACAGGAATTTCCTGTACCTTGCCTTTAGACCCATGCTTCATGTGTAGTAATGAATGGTGAACATAGTTTAGTTAGAGAGAAATGAACTCTGGTTGAATTAACATCCCCAAACAATTAAAAGAATATATAATGAACACTCCAAGGAAGCTCTCCCATTTAGCAACACATAATGTATCTACTGTGGGAAAGGGAACACAAATATTAATGAATTCAGGATTCAGTAGGTAAGCTTTAGATCCCCTTAACATTACTGGATTCTGAAAACTCTCAAGAAATATCTTGGACGAATGTTAGTTGTTACTTCTATGAGAATAATTTTTTTACTTTCTGTTTGTTTGTTTTCAGCTGCAACAATGGTGGAAGCAGGAAGAGACAAGAAAAACCCAGATGAATTTGCAGTGGCATTGGATGAAACTCTTGGAGACTTTGCATTTCCAGATGAGTTTGTCTTTGATGTATGGGGAGCAATAGGAGATGCTAAGCAAGGACGACTGGAATGAGAATTGTGAAGTTTATCATTCTCAATTCAAAAATATAAGGTGACTTTGAAATATGTATGTCAGAATACTAATATTTTTATTGATATAAATCTGGGGTGCTCTATAAAAGTATTCTTATCAGAAACTTTATTTTACAAAGGGAAGTTTCTAAGAAATAAAGATAAACTCAAAGGTCTAACAACTGCACAGGTAGAATGAATATTTAATTCAAATGTGGAAATCACTGAGAGGAGAAGGGTCAAGTAGATGTATTTATACATGCATTTTATGTGCTTTGGTATCTATTTTGAGAAGTAATAGATATATGCAAAATTTTTTGGATTATCTTTTTTTTTTTTTTTAAAGAAAGATTTATAAACTTGATTTTTAAAAAATAATCAACACATTGCAGTTCTCTGATCTGCTGGTTCTTAAGTATTCAAGTAGGCCAAGAGCTGTACTGTTTGTCCTGGATGTAGACTTTTCAGTAGACAAAGATGAGAAGAAGCCACCCTGCCTCTGGAGAACCCATGTTCAGGAAAAAGTAAATTCCTCTGGGGAAAAAAAAAAACCAACAAAAAACCAATAACTATGACTTTAAAATGAACTTGCTCTCATTTTTGGTCATAACACACACTGCCTAGTAGGTATTTCTGAAATGATTTAGTAGAAATGCCTAGAGCAGGAATCTGTTGCTTTATTCAGATGCCATATTATCACAATTGCTACTGCATAATAAGAAACAAATGTTAATTTTGATTAATATTCACATATTTAGATAATATCTGTGATCTGGCAGAGGAGTCTGTAATACTTGACTAAATGCTTCACCTATCTTTGCATGTAATAAACACCTTGCTGAAATCCTGTGAAGTTCCCCCTTTATCTTGTCTGTTGTTTTTTTCAGAATGGCAATGTAGAGATATTTAAGAAGGTGCTCAGAATCAGCAGATGTAGTAGTATGATCACAACTGCAGTTTGGATGAAAATGAATGTCTAAAACTTCAATTAATATCATTTTATACTTCAGGATTTCAAATTATACTGTACATAGATGTTTATTTTTAACTGATAATGTTTTACTAATAAATCTTGGATTGTTAAAAAATTAACTCTCTCTAACACATCTGCTATGTCTGCATTTATCCTCTTGTTCACTCTATATTTAATGAAGAGCAGTGTTTTGTTTTTATTTATAAGTGTATTCTTTTTCAGTTATTACTGTGTTAGGTTGTAATCAAGACATACTTGCTCATTTATGTAGAAAATGTAATTTTCAAGAGATACTTGTAGCAATTCTGATTTTTTGAAAAAATATATGCAATTTACATTTTAGCCAAATAACACAATGAGTATCCTTGAAAATGAAATTGAACGAAAATATGGTGCCTGATTTGAGGTCTTGTAATGCTCTTCAAGGGGATTGTCATCAATTTTATAAACACCATTGTGAGTGTTCTGTTTCTCTATCTCTAATTTAAGGATAAGCTTTTGTATAATATAGATGTTCATTTTTATGAAATGAGTACTACAAAGACATATGGAGATCAGATATTTTATTGTATTTTAGAAAGTTCATAGGTGTCAAAATTGCATTGTACAGGTGCCTTGTATAACCAGTGTTACCAGGGATGTAATATGCATGTATCTTTAAGTACATGTGATAATTATGAATTTCTATAGTAACACATACACTATTGCTGGAAAAAAATCAGGCAATTCTCAGGTTATGAGAAGTAAGTATAAATAGTTTTACTAGAAAATTTGTCATTAAAAGGAAAATAAAGAAACTTGGTGAACAGGTGATTTTCCTTATATCCCATTGCTGAAATGGGACCACAAGGGAATATTATTTTGAAAAGCGCAATTTTAGGGAAAAGTGTACAGGTTGAATAGCTTTTGTCTATATTTAATAACAGTGAATCTGATCTCTCAATCTTCTGTTGCAGTTGAGCACTCTCTTTCTTGCACAGGACTCCTCTAAGGTACTTTTGGTAATGAAGCATTTAAGTATTGTGGACCATATCATTCTGTAAGCTTCTTTTAGGTGAAGAACAAAATTGAATTGTCAAGAAATGAATGCTAAAATTTTGTGTTACTTCTGTGTGAAATTTATATTCTTTTACATAAACTTCAAACTCTGTGAAAATGTTTGAAGAAGTTTATATACATTAATAACCATAATCAATATGATATTCATTACAAAACCTAAAGAATTCCTTCTTAAAGAGCAATGGACTATGTAGAATTGTATTACAAAATAATACATAAAATATTATCTATAGCAGATAACTCATCATGTGTTTTGGCTATTCATTTTATTTTGAAAAATTAATGCTCAAGAATTATATCCTTAAACCATAATTTGTAATATTACATTTATTGAAATAGGAAGATAATTTCTGAAACACAATTTCTGAAGCACTGACCTCTCATATCATCTGTGGAGTTTATTGCAGAACTGAGATTTAAATAGTGATTGCAATTGTACCAACACTTACTGTAGTAAAGTATGCAGTATAAGCATCTGGCTCTTAGTATATAGAATCATCGAGTTATCTAGGACAGAAAAAACCTTCAGGATCATCAAATCCAACCATAATAACTGGATAGATGCTAAATAGTCCTTTCTGCCTTCATCTTTTTCTCCCAGAATCTGAAGTGGAATGAGAGAAGACAGTAACTCAGCCTTCAATGCTGTTTGAAAAGTAACTAATTCTCATAATACGGTGCACAGTCTGCAGGCAGCTGGCAGATAGATGCAATTTTTTGTGGTTTTACTTTCAGCATGCTGCTGTATTCAAGATGATGGAAATTACACCCTACTTTTCTCTATCAGCAATAGATTTTAGATGCAGAAATAGGATTTCATAAAATGATAAAGTTCTGAGCTCATTAGTTTAAAAACACAGTCAGCAATGAATATTTCAGGATTTTAAATGAGCTAATTTTGAAAATTACTCATACATCTTTTGAGACACCTTTAGCGTATGCCAGATGTTACTTTGGCTACAAAATTGATTCTATGCAACCCTATTCATAGTGCTGTGGGTATTTAAATAGCTATTAGTATAATTGTGCATTTGTGAAAATCTTGTCTGGGATTCAAATTTGTAACTCTACACAATTTCCGTATTTCCTTTTTTTGTTTTTGTGATATCATAAAACTTTGAAAATTTTGTCCTTTGTATTTGAAAATAAAATATTGATCAAATAATGAGTCAAAAATTAATAAGTCAAAATAATGTATAATACCTTATTAAGGAAAAGCTATCACGCAATATGTAATACAGAATGAAAAGCTTTTCAAGCATTATATGCAAAGTACAAAAAAGCAAATTGCAGGTTTTTTAATGTGAACTTGTGATTTTTGTGTTGTATATTGTTTTTCATGAGAATGTCTCGTGAGAATTGTTTGATGTCAGGGAGTTAACTGCCCCTCTGAAACCTACTGCATGTTTGCTGTGAACTTCAAAACATCTTAAATTGGATTAAATCAATTATTTATATTCAGTTTTCACAGAATCACAGAATCACAGAATTGCCAGGGTTGGAAGGGACCTCAAGGATCATGAATCTCCAACCCCCCTGCCACGTGCAGGGCCACCAACCATTCCACCTGATGCTAGACCAGACTGCCCAGGGCCCCATCCAATCTGGCTTTGAACACCTCCAGGGACGGGGCATCCACAACCTCCCTGGGCAGCCTGTTCCAGTACCTCACCACTCTCTCCGTAAGGAATTTCCCCCTGACATCCAACCTATATCTCCCTTCCCTCAGCTTAAAACCATTTCCCCTTGTCCTGCTGTCACTCACCCTTTCAAAGAGTTGATTCCCCTCCTCTTTGTAGGCTCCCTTTAGGTACTGAAAGGCTGCAATGAGGTCACCCCGCAGCCTTCTTTTCTCCAGGCTGAACAAGCCCAGCTCCCTCAGCCTGTCCTCATAGGGGATTTTCATTTTGTTTGACTCTCTATGGTTTTTAAGACATCTGCTTTAAATGTCACAAATTTCTGAAAGATCCGTGACTTAGTTTACAAGAGTATAAGCAAATTTACAGACTTTAAAGGCTAAGATATTCTTCACCTATTGGTTTCTGTAAGGAGCTTGTAAATAATAACAGTCTATAATTAAAAAACATGCAGTCTGCAGTACAGGCTTCTTTCTCAGGAAAAATATATTTGGTTGTGTGAGTTTCAGGGAGTGAAAATTAAGAAGATTGAGACAGGAGGTGTCTTTCATTTTTCTTTTTTTTTTTTTCACTGAAACATGAAATGGCTTTAATCTGAATGGGACAAGATCTGTACAGTGACAAGAAGCAATCTCCTGAGGCATTTAGGCTGATCTCTCTCCAATTGCTTGTAACTAGCTTGTAGCAAGCAATCATAGAGAGGCTGTAAGCAGCTTTTCCAGTTTTCTTTAAATAGTGGCAGGTTGAATCTCTATTGCTGCCTAGGCTCTTTCACAAAATTTTGCATGTTGTTTCTGTAGCAATTGGCTTTGTAGCAAAATCTCAAGTAAAAATTTCCTAATTGTCATAAACTTAATTTTACTATACAGTATTTGAAAGAGGAAAAATTAGTGAGAAATAAATGTTTATTCTTTGAAATAGGGGGTATCTACCAGTTCCACTTCTTAGTAATTTCTGTTGCGGTGTGTAAGAAGAATGCTCTGGAGAGTGTTCAGAACTCAGCAGTGTGAAAAAAGAGTAATGAATATTCAAAGATGCACCTGGTGGCCCCAGCTTGTGACCCACATTAGGTGTTTCCTGACACTTCCAATGAAGAAAATGACCACAGGCATTAATCCAAATCTTTCTTTCTAAATCTTTATCTAACTTAATTTACTTGATGTCCTAGACTTGTGTCCCAAGCTTGGTTTCTGGAAATTGATACATGAACTATATGGGTCTTACAGCAGTGTAGGCAGGGTGGAAAAGAACTTTACCACACAGAGCAGTCCCTAAAAGGGTTGAGCCTACAGGTCAGACCAGCTCTAAATCAAAGAGCTGGTTGCAGGATTAATGCGAATGCTGGGTTCTCAGCCGCAATGATTCTGCACTGCAGACATATTTCTATGGTTCCCTGACCAATTGCTGAGATGTACCCAGTATCCTGCCCTGTTAGTGTTTGCCAGTGAGGGCTCATGAATCTAATGTAAATTAATGAATTAATGCCTGATGTGTGGTAAGCTTTTTTTTTTTTAATCTTGGAAGTGTAATTTATTTTCTTGTTGTACAAAAGTTTGACTGAACCTGAGGGTTGTAAACAATGGTCCCTGTGGGTTTTCTGTTTTGTTTCTGAAGGCACTGCACGTCTGAGTGAACTTTTCATGGAGGCAGAGAGAATGACAATGAGATTCATTATGAAGTTCTAATTTTTGGTTCCTGAATATTCTTCATATTTACTTTTTTTCCGGTCTTCTTTTGGGAATGAACTGCTAAATACTTACTAATAATGTTTCTTCAGCGAAATACTTACTAATAATGTTTCTTGTTAGAGCATGAACCGCATTAATTAATGTCTTAAATGAAAGATGGTATTTGAATTTAAGATGAACTATAATTGGAGAAACATGTTACACCATAATACTTAAGTAATATCTCAGACAAGTCTCTGTTTACTAAAAACATTGTTTTAACTAAGTATTCCGAATTTTTTGTCTGTTTGTTTTTTTTTAATAAGGAAGTAGGCTTGCAGAATGGTGAATGGCTAAGCGTGGGATTAAATTTTTAGTTTAATGGGAAAAACTTTTAATGACAAACTTATGATTACAAGTTGTGCTTGTAACCTAGATGATCTACAAGGGATTTTTTTACTCCTTTAATTGGCAACTTTTTTTTTTATTCATACATAGAACAGTCTCTGTCTTGAAACAGAAAAGAGAGCATGGTAAAATCCATTGCAACTTGTGTTCTCTAGGCATTCGTGGTATTGGAATCTCTATCAAAACCACTCACACATCCTTGTTTTCAAAATGACAATCCATTGGCTATTTTTACATGTAATTTCAATTGATGAGCTTAGGTTTTGAGATCAGTGCATCTTTTTTTGAGGTATCTCTAGGCAAGTTAAACTTCTGGTTAACAGAAGCAGATCAAGAGAATAATAAAGT